GAAGGGCGGGGGACCAGGGAAGAGGCGAGAGGAGAAGCAGGAGGGGGAGGGGAGGCGCAGGGTGGCCGTGCTGTCCCCCTCCCAGCCCCCCTTGGTGGTGGCAGCCCCTCCCAGGGCCCCTCTGCAGCACATGGACAGTCTTGAGTCACAGCTCGTTGGGGGCTTCCTGTGAACCCTGGAGAGGTTTTCCCGCCAGTTAATAAAGCAGAGTACAAGGTCCCTGCCGCGCCAGCGCCCCACCCTCTGACCCCAGCCACCCGCTGGCCTGACGACCTTCCCAGAGTCCAGCTCTGCCCACCCAGGCTCCAGACCTCCTGCCCACTTCTCCAGGGACCCAGCTGTCCCCAGGYTCTTGAGGACTCAGGACCGAAGCTGTGTCCCTTTGACCCGTAGCATCCAGGCCAAGCACTGACCTTACGAAACCTAAATGTCCCTGAAACACATCCCCCCACCGCCCTTTCTGAGCGTCCTTCTTTCCCCTTCCAGTCCCCTGCCCCTCCCCTGATTATGAGAGGGTCTCATCCCGACTTCTAAATTCCTCCCAGAAACACGGTCTGCATCTCAATGCTCCAGGCCTCAGTGTGGTGACTGGGAACAAGACTCACCCTGTCCCCAGGAAGCTCACACTCTAACGGGAGACAGGCTCAGTGGACCCAGGGACAGGACTGGGCTCTGTGGTGCCCAGGGGCTGTACAACTGCCACGACAGAGACTCAGAATGGACTTTCTCTCTCACCTAACGGCAGAAGCTGCCCAGGGCTGTGGCTCCCAGCCCCCAGGCCCCCTCCATATTGTAGATCGTCCGCCCTTCAGCCACCAGCCAAGGACGTCTGCATCCTGGCCAGCGGGAAGAGGAAGAGGACACGGAGCCCTCCTTTCCACACCCCTCTTCTGCTCACACCCCATTGTCCAAAAAGGGATCACGTGGCCACACAAAAATACCAGGGAGRAGGGGAGGTGTCGCATTCATGCTGGGTGGTCACGGGTCCCTCRGTCCCGGTGCTCGGTGGCTGTAGGAGATGGACGTGGAGACCATGGGCGTCTCGGAGGCAGCCTCGGGTACTGTGCTGTCCTGGGAAGCCGAGGGGCGGGAGCCATTCCCGTCTTTTCCAGAGCCACCAGGGACGGGGATTTAGACAAGGGCTCCCTGCGAGCTTCCACCTTCCATTCTGGCTCCTCCAACTCCCCCCACCTGACCCCCAGGTGTTGGCTGAAGATGGACCAAGGCAAGATAGACGGAAGAAGGTTCCAGAAAGAAAGGGAAAGGATTGAGAGGGAAGGATGGGTGGAACCAAACCTCTAAAAGCTCAAGGACTTTGGATGCTACTGAGTGCCACAGCAGGAGGAAGACCCAGGAGCCCCTGCAGGATGCACACGAGGGGGTCAAAGGTGACCTCTACCATCGCAGTTTCTTGGGAAGGGAGGAGTGAGGTCTGAAGAGCGAGCCTCTGGTGGGACACGAGGGTGTAGAGACAGCCAGAGAGGCAGAGAGGTGAGTCAMGGGGGCGAGAAGCAGGATGTAGATCCTCCATCAGGCCGATCCCGGGGTGAAGAACCAAGGAAAAGCAAGAGGCTCAAACCACACGGCAGAAACAGAGTGGCCGCCTTAACCAGGACCAGAGTCACAGTGGCTCAGACAAATCAAAGCTGATTTCTGTGTCCTGTAAGAGTCTGAGCATAACAGCTAAGCACCGAGAGGGGGCTCCACAGAGCTGGGGGCCCAGACACCCTCCATCTGGCTTCTCAGCCATCATCAACACGGGGCTTCCTTCTCAGGGGCCAGGAAGGCTGCTCCTGATCAAACCATCACGTCCACATCCCAGCCAGAGCCAAAGAGAAAAAGGGAAAGGGAAGCTTCCCTTCATCTTTGCTCACATCCCATGGGCTCAGTTCTTGTTGGCTGGACTTGGAAACTTGACCGTATCTATACAGGAGACAGGAACAAAGTAATTTAGCTGGGACACCAGGTACCCACTTAAACTTAGGGGTCTTCTTACTAAAGGAAGAGGGAGCAGCCAGCAGTCAGAGCCACCGAAGATTAGAACAAAGAGTAGAGGGACCGAAGCYGAGAGGAGGGAGGAGGGAATCGGATGAGTGTGATAGGGACAGAAACAGGGAGCCCTGCTGGTCTCCTTTATTTCTCTGCAAAGTGGGACCCCAGTCCTTGCTCTCAGGGGCCAACAGAGGGAAGGCCTGCCAGCCTCTCTCCAAGCTGGCCCCGGGGTTCAGCCCTCCTGGGAGAGCAGCAAGCCCCCACCGCAGGCCTTGAGGTGGTCAAGGAARAGCTGTGCCCAGGAGGCCAGCGCCTCCTTCCCAGCTCTGGGCTCAGCTGCCGTCTGCTTGGGACAAGCCAAGGCATCTCAGATGCACCTCTGCAAAGTGCCCCTGCAGATGCCCAGTCTGCCTGCCTGGCACTGCTGTCGGGAGAGCTGTGAAGTCACTTCATCAGGCTCTGAGGTTGGCCCGCACGGGGGGCATGGTGCCGTCAGCACTGAGGCCCAGGGGCAGGCAGGAAAGGGCCGGAGGAGCCTCCCACACACCGACCGCCCAGAACCCGGCCTTCTGAGGGCCTCTGGACTTGGCCTGCGCTGGGCCGGCAGAGTCCTCCRCTATCTGGGTGAGGCGAGAAGGGGGAGAGAGCCACCTGAACAAGCAGGGGCCCCACGGCAAGCTGCCGGGCACCTACAGGGGCAGCMCACCCAGCCGTCCACAGCTGCTGGGAGCCTCTGCTCTGTCTTGAGGTCACTGTCTTGGAGCCTTGGCCTTGTCCCCTGCACTGGGCCTTGGGAGTTCCCCTGGGAGAGGACCTCTCCCTGACCCCTGGACACCACCCTGTGTTCCCAGCCTCAGCCCAGTAAACAGAGTTCGTCCCCCAGGCCTTGGGACCCAGAGCCAGCAGGCCCAGCGCTGCCCACGCATCATGTGCTCCATACTGCACCAAAACATGCTGCGGACATAGCAGACACCACACACACACCACACGAACACAAAAAGACCCACACACACTGGCAGCATGTGACACCCACAGGCAGACACAACACACCTGCTCCCCACGCTGCACATCACGCACAACTCCCAGCAAGGCCCTTTCCCCCGACACACACACACACACACACACACACACACACACACACACACTCCTTTCCAGGCTCTCTCTGTGCACACTCCTCCCTTTAACCCTCTACAGGACAGCCTGAGTGATTTTTTCAAAAACAAAGTAAACCAATTGCTCTGAACTCCTCTCACTCTTCCTGTGACTTTCCAGAACCTTCAGGCTAAAGGCTGAGCTCCTGATCAGAGCTCTCATGGCCCCTCAGTCCCCACCCAGCTGTCCCCAYCCTCCTGTCCCCATGGGCCAGGCCCTTCCCCACCGCACCCTGGGACCCCCAGGCTCTCCTTGCCCCTCCAGAGACCAGCTGGGCGGCAGCCACAGTCCATCCACACCTTGCAGGGTCCTTGCAGGGTCCTTGCAGACCCTGCAGAGCTGGCCCTTCCACAGAGGGGTCCTGACCTCCCACAGGGGGTGGCTCCTTCGTCCTCTACCTCGTGCAGGTAGGTAGCGGCATGACTTGCCTCTGCGTCATCCCTCTTCTGGGCAGGTAGCCCTCTGGGTCTCCGCCTCTCCACAGCGCCATCCTAGCTCTAGGGGGGGCTCCGATGGCAAGGGGTGGGTGGCCCTCACACCCTCATCCTCCCACACAGATCAAGGTAGAAAAYCAGCACGACTACCAGGACATCACCAGCGTGGTGGCCATGGCCAAGACCTACGCCACCACCGAGGCCTTCATTGACTCCAAGTACGACATCCGCATCCAGAAAATCGGCTCCAACTACAAGGCTTACATGTGAGTCCCCCGCAGGGCTGGGGGCTGGGAGGGGGGGCGGGGCGACGGGGATGTCTGCTGCCATCTCCTCCGCACACCACGGCTGGCCCTTTCTGCCTCCTTCCCTGCYCTTCCTCTCTGGTCTGTCATGGCGGACACCGTGGTGGACCTCCCCTCTGAGAAAGAAGACGCCTGGCCTGTCCGGGGACTGCAGCTAGGCGTCGTGAGCAGGCTTAGCAGTCAAAACTGAAAGTCTGGGGACAAGTCAAGCAGGCCTTTGGACGCCTGGGTTAGGATTTTCTTCAGTTCTCTGCACATGATCCCATCTGTGTATATAAAAAGATAACTGGGGACCGTGAGCTGCAGGAGGGTGACATCAGGTTTCTCTGGCTGCAAGGAACAGAAACCATGGCTGGCTATCTTAAGGGTTTTTTTGTTTTGTTTTGTTTTTTTAAGTGAATGTACTAGAAAACAATGGGTGATAAGAAACTAAAAAAAAAAAAGCCTCTGAATTACCAAGTTTAGAAATGTCAAGATCCAGAGCGGCCCCAACGATCTGAGAGCCAGAGGTACTAGGCAGCTCCCATGGCGATGCGGCTGGCGAGGAACCTGTCCTAATCGTTTTCAGTGCTTATCTCAAGATCATGGTTCCACAGACCAGGAGATCCAGCCAGCTTCCGCCATGCTCTTATCGGTTAGAGAAAGGCAGACTACCCCTAGGGGCGTCCCAGAGGGGAGGTGTGCCATGTGCTCAGGGCCATTCCCCAGTGGGAATGGAGGTCCCGTATCTAAAAGAAAAAGAAGGAACGAGAGACAGACTCAGCCCACCTGCACCCCTGACATGGCTCAGCAGTGTTGGACCCGCCCCAGGGCTGAGGCCGTAAGAGTTCTGGAGTAGCCAGATCTCGTTCTTTGGAGAGGACTCAGCTGTTGAGCCCCTTCTGTCTTCACTTTGGAATGTTCCACTTGCAATGATGAGACCCAGAGACCCCAGAGAGCCTGACCGCTAAGGGTTTACGGAGCTCGGACTGCGTGGCTCCGTAGGTGAGCCTCCACGGTTGTCCCAGACAGTTGGAAAGTTTTTCTGTCCACATTTTTCTTCCATACGGGATAGCAAGTGCCCAGGGTCAGGTCAGCAAGTCACAGTCCCCGGGCCAAATCCAGCTGCCTCCTGATTCTGTGAAGACAGTCTTGCTGCTCTCGGCCATGCAGGTCTGCCCCTGGATGGCCRAGAGTCGATTCTGCAACACCTGGATGGCCTAGGCCAGGGGTCAGCAGACTTGTGTGAAGGGCCAGATGGTGAGGTCAGACTCTGAGGACCCTGCAGTCTCTGTTGTCMCCACTGCACTCTGCCATGGCCTGGGGCACTGGAGGAGATGATGGCAGATAGTCCCAGGAGAGGGACTGCGTCCCTGCTCAAGGAATCCTCCTCCTGCCTGGTCAATCACCCTCTTCCAGCCCCAGGGAGAGCCAGAGTTGCCACTGCTCTCAGATGTCCTCAGGGTGATAAAATGCCCTCCCTGCCCCTCTGAGTCACACCACGTGCAGCAAGGCCACCCGACGTCCCTGAGGCCCCCACCGTCCCTCATGATATCATTTCCTCCTGTCTGCATTGTTGGAGCTGGCACTTGACGTTGACGACACCTTGTCCCAGTTTCTTTTCTTGAGGATGATCTCATTGCCCCATTCTTCATCTGAGCCTCGCTGGCCTGACAGCTCCGACTTGGCACACGCGGTGGCGCTTCCTGGACTCTGGGCTGTTCACATCCAAGGAAGGTGGCTCATGCCAGAGCTCAGGGAGGAATGTCCTCCCTGCCCTGACCATTCAGCCTCCTCGATGGCCCACATCCTGCCCTGCACCCGGCGCAGGCTGTGGTGGCTGCTACTAAGGTGTCACAGCTTTTAGATTCTCTCGTCAGATATGGCACAGAAATAGGAGTGTGACTCCTCCCCACACGAACATGTATGTCCACGACCCTTTCTCTACAGAGCCATCCTACGGACATTAAGCTCAAAGCAGTCCCACCGACGTCTGTGACTTTTATCTGGCATGATGTGGTTCCTCTTGGCCTTTCCTTAACTGCTTATCTGCACCCTCCCACTCCAACAGAGGAGACCCTGGCTCCCCCCATCAGCCATCCACTGACTTACCTGTCCATGTGCCCAGTGCCAGCCCATCCACCCATGGCCGTGGAGACGACTTTACCCACTGTAGCACACAGCCAGGTGCAGCACCTCTCATCTTCAGTCACACTGTCCCCACTCGGTCCAAAGTCACTCAGCACCTCTTCCTCCACCTGCTCCAATGAGGTTAGACCATAGCCCTATGCTGTGCTCCGAATGTTTCTGTCCCCCCAAAGTCWCGCGTGGAATCCCAACCCCCAAGGTGATGTCGTGAGGGAGGTGGAGGGGCCCTGGGGAGGGGATCGGAGCAGGAGGGCAGAGCTCTCAAGAATGGGATCCTTCTAATGCTCTTCTAAAGAGGGCTCAGAAAGACCCCTGCCTCCTCCAGCAYGGGAACCAGACAGTGGGTCCTCACCGCACCCCGAGTGGGCTGGCACCTTGATCTTGGCCTCKTGGCCTCCAGTACAGGGAGACGCGAATCTCTGTTCTCTCTACAGCCCAAGTGGACTAAGCCAACTTGTCGTATAGGTGGATGCTCTTGTCACAGTCTCCATTCATCCTAATCCCAGGGACAGTGTCACATTCAGGCCAAGAACAAGACCTCCTTCCCTCCCTCTGTGATGGGCCCCCTGGGCTCCACCATGGAAGGTCAAGRTCAAGGTTAAGAAGACAGGGTTAAGAGCCAAGTTAAGATCAAGTCAAGGTTAAGAACACAATTTGGTGGCTTCTGCCACACAGTGAGAGAAAAGGAGAAGAATGCCCATCCCCTGAGATTTGGAGAGGCTGAGATGGGCCAGGACTTTTAAAGCCCTTGGATCGTGTCTCAGATACAGAAAGCATTCCTCAGACATCAGCTATCACTACACGCTCCTCTTGGAAGGAACGCCATCTGGCCAGTTTTCAGTCCTTAGATTGCCTGCCTGTCCTGGTCCACTTACTAAAAATAATAGCAGCTCCCATTGTGCTCGGAGGCCTATGGGAACGTGGCCTTTCACGTACACAAGTCCCTATGAGGCTGAGACTCCAAATACTCCCATTTTACCACTGAGGATATAAAGACTCCGAGATGCTGYCCAGGGTTATGTTGCTAGAAAACCCTGAAACCAAGATGCAAACTCACATCCGCGAAACTCCCATCAGTTCTTACCTTCTCTCACCACCTTGACTTCCCCAGAGCCCTTAACTCTGTGTCCATTGCTAACCCTACTGTGACTAGCCCCTGGCTCCAAGGCTGGTCCACCCCGAAGACTGTGAGCAGCCCAAGGAGTCATCTCGGCACACTCAGACTCACCCAGTACCCAGGACACAGGGTGGCCCTGGGAGCATTTGCCAAACCGAATTGAATCTAGTCGATCTGAACTGATCCAAAGTGAACTTGCGTCCACTCTGTGGCCACCATGAATTCTCAGAGCTCACACATTTGATTTTCTCTTTATAGACATATTCTTGGGTCAATCTCTCTCCCCAGTTTATTCTTTGATCTCAACCACATACCCTCGCTTGCCCCTAAGACAGACGGAYGGCTTCATCTCTGCCATTTCCTTAAGCTCACTGGGTCTTTGGTGGGTGCAGAGGTGCCGTGGTGGTTGGTRGCTTCTCTGGATTCCCCCACAGCATACACTATCCTTCACTCACTCAGTAGCTACTGGGCACCTACTACATGCCAGGTTCCACTGGGCTCTGGGGGTACAGGGCATGTACTGAAACAGATCCCCTGCCCTCCCCACATCAGGAAAGACAAGACACTAAAGCAATCACTACAAGCCGGGTCAGCATGGCAGAGCTTAGCGCAGGGGGTGGTGCCAAGTAGTCTTTGTTTGTCAGATAATGTAGACTGGAGGGAAGGCATGTTTCAGATGAAGCCTAAGTATGATAAGAACTTGGGGTGGGGTGGGCAAGCTGGAGTGGAGGCAAAAGCTACACGGGGCACAGGGGAGAATGCACTGCAGGCCATGACCTAGGGAGGGGCCATGTGCACTGGGGCACGGAAAGGGAGGTCAGGTGTTGCTGGAGCAGACAAAGCTGCAGAAAAGGAACAGAGGAGGGTGGCAAATCAGGCACAGGCCAGAACTTCCTGCTTTTCTTCATGGAAAAGTAACCACTTGTCTCTAAGGATCATTTTTCCTACATTTTGGGGCCCACAAAAAGTTGCAGAATCACCAGAGGCTACATGGCCCTAGTTCTCCTCAAAAAGGAGACACACCAGGTATATTAGTCAGCTTTCTGTAACTGTAACAAAATACCTGAGCTAAATCAACCTACAAAGAGGAAACATTTATTTTGGCTCTTGGTTTCAGAGATCTCATGTCCTGGTTACTTAGGCCTATTGCTTTGAGTCTGGGCTGACAGTACATTGTGACAGAAGCACATGGCAGAGGAGGCTGCTCACCCTATGGTACCCAGGGAGCCAAGGAAGAAAAATACCAGTGTCTCAATATCCCCCTAACTTCCTTCCATGAAGCTCCACCTCTTAAAGATTCCACCAYCTCCTCATAGCACCAAGCTGAGGACCAAGCTTTAGCATGTGGGCCTCTTTGGAACACTTCAGACCCAACCTATACCACCAAGGTTGGGGGGATCTTATCTGATGAYATCAGTCTATTTTAAATTTGATCTTTATATTCCAAAACCTTCCTAGAACAATGCATAAAGTAAATAAAGCAATCAGGATAAAAGGAAATAAAAACAGGGAAAAAAAAAAGGCTGAGGACAGGGTACATACCAAAAAGGTGCATACCACAACTAATGTGAGCCAGATATTTGAAACACAGCCTCCTCACAACCAAAGCAAAGAAGGAAAATAGACCAGTGACAGCGATCCCTAACGACCGTGATGTCCTGTTGGGTTTTGTTTTTGTTTCATTCTGGTTTTTGTCTTTGGATCCAGGCGAACCTCCATYTCTGGAAACTGGAAGGCCAACACAGGCTCCGCCATGCTGGAGCAGGTGGCCATGACTGAGAGGTAAGAGACGGATGGGGTGCCGCTGTGGCGGGAGCTGGGAGGGGACAGCAAGGAGCCCTGTGAAGCATGCCACCACCTTGTCCAGAGCCTCCCCTGCCCACTGCTCTGAGAAGGGAGCAGGGAGTCCCCGTGCTTCTCTTTAGGAAGCACCCTTTTTAGGGCACCAGGGGAAATGGCATCGCTCCTTTCGCAGATYCCTGTTCCTCCCCGTAGGAGTGTTTCCTGGCTGCACTCTGGCTGAGCGCCTCACGCAGGCCTTTCTCCCTCTAAACACTTGCTGCAAGCCATCCTCACTTGAAATAGGGCTGTCACCTGCTCCCAGGGCCAGTCACCCGCATTCTTTCCCGCTGTCGGGTGACCTCTGCTCACAAGTACTTGGTAGCAATGCACTTAGTGTGGGCTTTGGGGCCAGAAAGCTCTAAGTATTCAGTGAACATTTAYTGAGTGCCAACTGCATGCCCTACTGGTCTGAGCACTAAAGAGGCCACAGTAGAAAGATCCAATCATTCCCTTTAAGAACTCTGGATCCGTTTGAAGGGTCCCAGTGACGGGGTCTTGCTCTAAAGGACTTACTGGCTCCCCTCCTGAGGGCCAGGCTYGGGGAGGCCTGGGCACTCCTTCTCCACCCTGTTCAGGAGAGCGTTTCCCGCGGGTGCTTCTCCTACAGCGGCCCACGGTGTCTCTGAGTTGGGCCTTCAGGGTGTCAGGTCCGGCAGAAGGAAAACCTAGTTCCCAAGGGACCCACTGAAGCCCGCGACTGAGCCCTACTCACTAACTGGCCAGGGTAGAGGCACGTGACCCCTTCTGAACCAATCCCTGTGCCCGAGAAGGCCGCGGTGCTGTGATTGGATGGGCTCAGGCCAGGCTCCACCCCTGGAGGTCCGACTGGGACCGCCCCCCTGCGGCCCATCAGTGCGGAGGGGCGTCGAGAAGTCTTTCAAAGGAGGGAAAATAACTGACCCACGGACTGSGACAGAGCCCAGCAGCCACCCCTGCCGCGGCTCCCCACTAAGAACGGGGACAAAGAAACAACTAGAGGGCGAGGCCGTGAACAGGGCGGAAGGGAGCCCTAAGTGCTGGCAGTGGGCACTCAGAGAAGGGGAGCAGGGAGGGAATGGTCAAGGGTCCCTCGAGGACATGGTGCCTGATGACGTCCTAAAGAATGGAGGAGTCAGAGGACCTGGTACTTGTCTCATCTCTTTGTCAGTATTCGATGGGCACCTAGTGGGAGCCAGTCATTGAGCTAGGCCCAGTTCTGGGACTAGAAAGCCCCCATGAACTGCAGTGAGTGGCCCTGACCATGCTGTGTGACCTTGGAGAAGCTCTGAACTGTTCGGAACTTCTTCAATTATAAAATGAGGGCACTAATACCCAAGTCAAAGTGCTTCTGCAAAGATGAAGAGAGGGATATGCAGTGCCTGACCCAGTCCAGCCCAGGGCAGGGAGGAGAGCCTGTCTTCCCAGCTACCTTACCTGGCAGCTGCTGCCTTTACCTGGGAGCCCACCTGCCCTCCTAGCCTGGAGAGGCTGTGCTCATCACCTGGCTCCAGGGAGTCCGATGGACTGGGGTGGCCCCACGCCTCTCCCCAAGGGTATTCATGTGACATTCCGGGCTCCCTTCTCACAGCCTTTCAGGAATGGGAGCCCAGCCCTCCCCAGGGCCTCCCAAGCTGCTCATGAATGTCCCCAGCAAGCCACCATCTTCTTGGCTCTGCTTGGCCCCAAGCCACAAGGGCCATTTCTGCAGGAACCGACCATAGGAATGGGGCTGCTCTGGCCTGGAATTCACTTTCCCCTTAGGGTCAAGGGCAGTACCCCAGGGCCTGGACAGTCCCATGCCCACATGGCCAAAATCCCTGGGGCCCTTTAACCAGGCTCTGGCCCCTACTTCCGCCTGGTTCACAGTTTTACCGGGTAGCCTGAGCCCTGGGCAATGCCAGGGATGAGGCTGGGTTGGTGATAGTCCTGCCYGACCAGAGTGGGCAGGGACCCCGCGCTCTCCGGCCTCTCCCACAGGGCTCCACCCTGCAGTCTCTGCCTTGACCCTGGCTGCCGGCCTCCTGGGTGCAGCCAAAGGTCACCCAGATGCTCTTGGTTTGAAAACAGGCTCTGGAAGCCAGTTGCCTCTGGCCTGAGGTCTAGACGTCCCTCTTCCATTGTCAAGAGGCCTGATTCACGAGTGCTTCAGAGCAGCCCTCCCGAAACTAGTGTCCCACAAGTGAGCCTTGGGGACCGAATACAGGGACCCTGATCAGAACACAGAGGACTCTGAGAGCCCTGAGGACCAAGGTTTGCCTCCAGATGTGACCACACATCAGACTCACATGAGAAGCGTTTTAAAAATCGATATTTGCTTGAGTGTTGGTTGAATGCTCCCGGTGATTCCAGCACACCACCAGAACCCCATCTGGCCACTCCATTTCACAGATGAGGAAACTGAGGCTGCAAGAGGGAAAGGATCATCCAAACTACTGAGGAAATAGTAGCAATAGTCCATGCCCCTGCCTCCTGGGCTGAGGAGGGACAGGAGGGCGGTGGCTTTCCTGAGCGAGAGGAAGCGCAGCTTACGTGAGATCGGGAATCAGACAGGACTTAGGATTGGAAGCCGCACAGTCACTATTAATCTCTCTGAACCTCAGTTTCTCCATCAGTAAAGGGGGGTTGAAACCTCCCTGATGGAGTTGTGGTAGGATCAGCGGGAATGAGGAGTCGGTCCCCCAGGCACAGAAGGCCTGGATCCTTCCTTTTAATCATGCCACACTCTGGCTGAGGCTCAATGAGAGAACCCGCCAGGAACCAGGAGACCTAGGTAATCCTGGCTCTGTTACTGCCTTGCTGTGTGACCTGGGCAAGCCGCCCTCCTTCTCTGGGCCTCAGTGGCACTCATAAGAGAGTGAGTTCTAAGAGCACTTCAGCCATGATCCCTCCTCACTCTGGGCCTCATGGCTCAGAGACACAAATAGATCTGAGGGCAGGCGTGCCCCGTGTGACCCTGGAGAGTGGGGAGAGAAGCAAGAACATTAACACAGAGTCCCCTGTGACTCCCAAATCCAGCCCCCAAGGGAAGCCAAGTGCAGTCGGGAAGACTTCTCCAGATACAACCAGCCCCTTGTTGCAGGGTCAAAGTCCAGCATTGAGATCTGTCCCCAGCAAAGCAAACTGGCCTTGGAGCCTTGGAGTGGCTGGAAAGGGAACAAAAGCCGCGGGTCCAGAGGCCCAGGCCCCAGGGCGGGCGGGAGCAGCCTGCCAGGCCGCCCTGCCACCTCCACCCCAAGTTGGGGGAGAATGCGCCCTTTGTCCCCCRCAGGCCTTGGTCCCAGGGGGATGTTTGGAGCCTTGGAGCAGCTTTCCCAAGGGAAAAGGGCTGCAGAGGCTCAGGCAGGAGCAGGACAAGCTCCCCACTGCTGGGGGGCYGGCGGGCCCGGGGTGCGGGGTGAGGGTCTCTAGATCATGGGCTCTCACTCCTTCTCTCCCTCTGCCTTCCTTCCCAGCGTGGCTCCCTGTTCCCCCTCCACCCTCTCTCTCCTCCCCACGCCCAGTGTCCCTGTCTCCCTCCTGAGTGCCCCTCAGAGTCTCTCATCTCCTCTTTGTCGGCTGGGACTCTCTGCCTGGGCATGGCTGTGTCTCCCCCCTCCCCCTCCCCCTGACCCCGCCCCCTGCCCTCCCCAGCACTCACTCTGTCCATCTGTCCTCCCCTACAGGTACAGGCTGTGGGTGGACAGCTGCTCAGAAATGTTTGGCGGGCTGGACATCTGTGCCGTCAAGGCMGTGCACAGCAAGGACGGCAGGGACTACATCATTGAGGTGAGGCCTGAAGCCACGTCCCCCGCCTGGCTCTACCTGGCAGGCGCCAGAGGGGAGACTCCAGTCCTGGGCCTCAGCACGGTCAGCTGTGTCCTGTGCCTGCTTCTGGCACAGGCAGCCCAGGCTGCAGTGAGCAGCTTCCAGAAGCTTCTGCCTGCCCCTCGTACGCCCCGTCCCACCTCAGCTGCATCAGAGGCCTTGGCTTCATGCTCAGGGGCTCGGCCTCCAGAGCTCAGGACACAGCTGAACAGCTGTCCCGGCCTGTGACCCTAATGGAAGAGTGGCAGGCCAAGAGTCAGCAAGATTCTGTCCCGTTGAGCCCTGTCAGTGACCTCGGTGTCCAAGAAGGTAGACGCACTCCCCTGGCCACTATGCAGAGACTCTGTCATTTGTTCATTCAACAAACATGAGCTTCAGGGGCTCCTGTGGGCTCGGCGTGTGGCTCTGGGGACACAGCAGTGAACCCACGGCACATGGAGTTTGCAGGCTGACAGGGCAGAGGGTGACAAACAGGTAAAGGACGGGTGTCAAATGTCCAGAAGGGGCACAGTGTGCAGGGGTGATGGGGGAAGATGCTGGGAAACGAAGTTGTAAGAGACACCCCCAGAGGGGCTGAGGCGAGCCCCCCTCAAGACCCTCCTTCTGCACAGCCCCCCACCCCTCAATCCCCCGCTTCCGTGGCTCCCCGTGGCCCTCTCGGTCCCCAGCCCTCCCCGCTCTCCTCAGCTCCTTCCCTGCCCTGCCGTCCCCTGCTGTCCACTCTGGCCTGGGCTGGGCTCTCCATGCTCACACACACACCCCCCCCCACACACACACACACACATGCACACGCACACACACATGTACACGCATGCACTAACACACGTGTGTATGCACAATGCATGCACGCACACACATGCACACACACGCACGCACGCACGCACACATGCCCCCACACACGCACACACCACCCTTCCCCCTCCCCTCCGTGAGACTCACTTCCCCAGCACRGGGGAGGCCGGTGCTGACACAAGGCCTGTGGCTGCCCCTCCCCTAGGTGTGGGTGGCTAATGGGAAGCACATGGCCAGGGTGACCACAGGAGCCAGCCGTCCCCCAGGCCCTCATGCTGCAGGGCTCCCCAGGGATCCACAGTGCAGCAGGACCAGGTGACTCAGTGGGCACTGACACGTGCCCAGGGAGGCGGGGTCGGGAGTCCAGGATGGACAGCGTCCCCAGCGCCCCCAGGAGGCTCCCTGCAGATGAGTGGCCTCTACAGTGGAGAGCCAGCCCTTCTCTGGAAACAGCGCTCCTCTCTGGGCAAGAACACTTTCCATCTGGCTGCCACTGTCCCTCAAATTCCCCAGTGTCCCCTCCTCAGAGGAGATATTGAAGAGCCAGGGACAGAGTCACTGAGGGACACAGTACCCTGGAGGGGCCAGTCCCCCACTTTCCTGGGGAGACCCTGGGAGCTTCTGAGCAAGCGCAGGGTGACAGCTCCTCTGCCTGGGACCTCAGAGCTCCTGGGACCCCACAGGCCCTCCCGCTCCCATCTGCATGTCRTCGGGGACGCCAGACGTCCCCCCAGGCCCTGCCTCCACCCATAAGTGGCAGCCAGGGGTCCCCCGAGGGCCCGTCCCTCCGGGTTTTCTCAACTTTCACTCTTAGGAAGGAAAAATGTGCACCCGTGGGCCCAGGCTCCTGCCCCCACACATTCAGGGATGAAAGACTGTTCACATGAACAACAAAAAACAAATCAAAAAGGAAGCGAAGCAGTGGGCTTGGACTTCAAGGCACAAGAAAACAGCTTCTCAAAAATGTTCCAGAAAAAAGTGGCTTTCGAATTTTCTTTTTCTTTTCTCTCAGAAACATTACGGGGTTGTTCCCCTTCCTTTTGGGTTTGGGGTAGGATCAGGGGAGAGGGGAAGCTTGCCACTAGGATTAAAAGRTATTTTTTTTCCTATTAAGGAAAGAAAAAGGCAGGAGAGATCCAAAAGTACTGGATTCCTAGCCACCTCACCGCTGTGGGGAGAACAGAGCGTGTGTGATGGTTGGTGAAATCCCCGGGGGGAAGGCCCTCTCTGACCTGTCCAGGCTATGACATGGCTCACTGGAAGCATGTCTCCCCGGGGACACCCAGTGTCCACTTTCCTTGGCTATGTCCACTGTGGGGATTCCAAACTTGTGTGACCTGAGGTTGCGTGGTCACTATTTTCCATTGCAGAGAATGTGGAGAACGCACCAGGCCAGGAGAGGGTAGGCAGGGTCAGGGGGAGAGGACAGGACAGGCCGGGGACAGACTCCAGAGCTGGAACTCAACACAGCTGCTGTAACCCAGACTGCCCATGTGGCGGGCACTGGGATCCCGACGTCACAGACCTGGGCACAGACCAGGAGCCCCCTGAGGAGTGTTCAGGCCCCTGCAGGAAGCCGAGGGGCAGTCGGCTTCACAGCCCCTCAGGCTCAGGGGCGCGTCAGACTCACAGACCCCGCTAGTCCAGCTGGAGGGACTAGCAGCTGCTCAAACAGCCCCACAGAGGAACAGTGACGAGCCCAGGGTCTCACAGCAGGTCTGTGGCAGAACCAGGCCTGGAACCCTTGTTGCCTCTTCTGGGTTCTGACCCTGGAGAGCTGGTGAGAGTTTGCCTGGTGACAAGGAAGGTGCCACCTCTGTGAGCCTCGGTCTCCTCATCACTGGGATCAGGACACTAACAAGACCTGCCTGGGAGAGCTGCTGAGATTGGCGAGTGCCCACGGCAACGGGGCAGGCCCCACCCCTAGCCTGATGAGCGGGCTGCTGCAGGACCTCCGTCCCCCCACTCCACCTCGCAGCCCGTAGCACAGCTCTCCAGTGGGACAGCCAGCGAGGGCAGAAGGAGCATCAGCTCCCAGAGCCCGCTCCCCCCATCTGAGACAGCTTCCGGGAGGAGGGGCTGGCTAGGTGCTCCCTGAGGGAGGAGCAGCTACCCAGGCCACCAGGAGTGGGAAGAGCAAATCATGAACATGAGGACCCAGAGGACAGAGAAGCTGGTTGGTCCAGAGCCGGGGACGAGGGGAGACCAGCCCCGAGGTTTGAGGGGGGTGGAGCAGGTGAACGCTGGCGGCTGGATTCCAGCGGTAGAAGAGAGAGACGGGGTGAGAACACAGGAGTTCACGGGTCTGCCAAGGCTAGTTCAGGGCCTTCCATAGCTGCCCTTGCCCAGGGACTCACCTGGGTCATTGTCCTGTGTGGCCTCAGGCAAATCCCTTCCACCCCTCAGTTTCTCCATCTGTAGAAACAGCAGAATGGCAGTCCCCGGCTCTCAGGCCACCTCTTTGTCTCCTTGGAGAAAGGCCAGGTCCCTGGGGAGTGACTTTGGCCCCAGGCCTGTGTTAGAGAACAGCCCTCCCCCCTTTCCTCTTCTCTCTGAACCCTGGGTCAATTCCAACCCCCACCTCCACCCCCCCTTTTTTTTGGAGCCCCCACCTTTACTGTTTCCGGCTTTGTGGAAAGTCTTGACCTTGGGCCAGAGGAGAGGAGGCCAGACCCCACCCTTGGAGGGGGCCCAGTGGGAAAGGAGGGGGTGGATCCCAGCTCCCCAAAGAAAAATATGGAAAAGGTCAGCAAAGGCTCCCAGCCTGGGTCATGGTCACGTTGCCCTAGTCCAACATCTGTAGGCAGACCAGAGCTGAACCAGGGAGCTGGTTTAGACTGAAGTTGGGGGAACAGAATGTCTCCAGGGAGCCCAGTCGCAGCTGGAGGTGCGGGGCCGGGTGGTTTGCATGGAGGACATCGCCATCTAGTGGTCATTTCGGTCCTGAGCCCAGGGCTACTCCTGGACGTTGCTGCCCCAGCTATGCAGGCATGGGGTCCTTCACCCCTCCTTTGTCTCCCACAGGTAATGGACAGCTCAATGCCCCTGATCGGGGAGCATGTGGAAGAGGACAAGCAGCTGATGGCTGACCTCGTTGTCTCCAAAATGAGCCAATTCCTAATGCCAGGGGGCACAGTACCCTCACCCCTGAAGCCATGGGTAAGATTCTCCAGAATAAAGAACATGCTGGATGTCTGGGCTGGGGGCCCCTCGATCCAACAAAGGGATCCCAGGGAAGGAGCCATAGTGGGGAGATAGGAATGAGGTGGAAAGAGGTGGGTATCCCCATGGGGGGACTCAGGACGTCTCTAGGGGCCCCTCCTCCCTGCTGGAGAGAAAGATCTGGTCCCACCTGGCCTTCAGGCACCTGTGGGCAGAGAGCACTGACAGCTGTCATAATCCCTTGCCYGCATCCTGGGCCTGAAGAAGAGCCCGTGTTCACAGGTCCCTGTGTGTTCCTAGGGCACAGATGATGGAGACTATTGTGTCTCCCTGCACAGCCCCCACCAAGGAGGACCCACCCACTCTGCAGAGACCCCTCCAGCTGCAGTCTCATCCAGAGACTTGCTCTTGTCCCCCACCCAGATCCTGCTGTCCCCACAAGACCTCATCCATGATCACAGATGTCAGGTTGATGGTTCAACTTGAGGAGGGCCCAGGCGGCCTTCTGCTCTGGAATGTTCTGTCTTGGGTAGTGGCCACCCCAACATGTACCTGTGTGAGACCCGATACACGGAACACTTAAGAACGCCTGCAAGGAGGTCTCACTCACTAAAAAACCATCTCTCTAAGGCTGGTCCCCACCCAGGAAAAGGCCAGGGAGATGGCAACAGGCTTCCTTTTTCTTCCGCTTTAGGCTCCACAGATCAAACCCGCAAAATCCCCCGGGCAAGGCCAGCTGGGACCTCAACTGGGACAGCCCCAACCACGCCCACCTCCACAAGGTAAGAGCCAGGGAGGATGTCAAGGGTGGCGCACGGGATCTCCAGAGGGCACTCTGGAAGAATCCATCTTCACACCACACCCRTTCCACACCGACCGTGAGGTGTGTCAACCCTTTAGCGACAGGGAAGGAAAGAGAACGTAGACCTGCCTTTCAGTGCAGTGCGGGTTGTGCACGGGGCTAGGCACTTTCTAGCCTCCCAAGCTCTCCACAGGAGAGACATCCRTATTTCCTTTGTTCTGCGGTGGCCGTGGAAGCTTCACCCAGGGAGGCACAAGCAACTGGCAGATGGACAGTCTGGCCTTTTAGACCTTCTAGAACGTGTTCACTTCTAGCTCCCAGAGGCATGAGCCAACCCGCTGGAGTGAGAGAGGAGAAAAAGCAGAACACAAGACATGACCTTGTCAAATGAAATCCTTCCTCAAAACATTCCAGCAGTACTACCTAAATGCCACCGTTTGTCAGGGGACCGATAAGTATGGATACCRCCGTGAGACCAGATCACTAGAACAGCTAGGAGCGCTTCCCGGGAACCTCTGCGGCCCCGGGAGCTCTCCCACGCAGGCAGCAGGCGCAGGGAGGAAACGCCCCCTCTTACCCTCCTGGGTCTGGGGTCCGCTGCAGCTCCAGAGCAGCTCTGCAGGGAGCCACCAGGCCGGGCAGCTTCCTTGCAATCTCTAAGGATCTGCTTTAAAATTGACCAGAAAGAAAGAGCTTCTATCTCGTCTGGCCTCGCAGCCACAATCATGAACACAATACATGTATTGCTTCTTGGAAAAAGTCAACCTTAGGCAGCAGATGGTCTCCTCTTCCATAAATCTAAGGAAAATTGCCCCTTCCTCCCTCAGGACTTCCTCCCTCCTCCTCTCCTTCCTCCCTCCTCTCCTTCCTCCCTCCTCCTCTCCTTCCTCCCTCCTCTCCTTCCTCCCTCCTCCTCTCCTTCCTCCCTCCCTTTCTCTATCACTGTCATTTATTCAGTGTATTCTTTTATATTAGCTCACTTTTTCACATAAATGAATGTGATGTTGACTGTTTCCCCCCTTATACTCCAAAATATATGCACAATTATAGAAATTATATTCGACCACAGACCAAAAATCACCACACTTGTCAAAACGCTGGGCTAGTTGACCTTTCGGCCTCCGTGTCTGTAGTTGCAGGGTCTCGCAGTACAAWGGCTTATTCAGACTCGAATCCATTCTAAAGGCCAGAGTAGGCTTCCCCACTTAATCTTACTCATGTCTTTTTCTTTGTCCCTGAAGTTTTCTCTCATTCTCTATTCTGACAAATCCCCAGAGTWTTGATGCTCAGTTCCCTCTACAATTTAAAACAGTAACACTCGGGCCGCACAGGGTACTGCACGCCTGTAATCCCAGGGACTCGGGAGGCTRAGGAAGGAGGATTGCAAGTTGGAGGATCMCAAATTCAAAGCCAGCCTCAGCAATTTAAAGAGACCCTGTCTCAAAATAAAGCATAAAAAGGGCAGGGGATGTGGCTCAGTCSTAGAGCACCGCCGAGTTCAACCCCGGGGCTGAAAGAAAGCCACATTTACTGAATGTCAACTACATGTGCGCCTGTGCCTGGGGCCCGGGGCACAGTCCCTCTGGACAGCAGGAGGACTTAGCTGAGGAAGCCTGTTCCCCTCAAGTCAAGGAGGCAGAGAGAGAAGGGGGGTCCGGGGTCCCAACAGGCCCCTCAAGAACACACTCCAGCGACCTCACGTCATCCCCTCTCCCAGCCTCAATTTCCTCAGCGATAAAGGAGGACAAAGCAGCSGTCACAGGTACTGATGAGGAACTGTCCCCAGAATAATGCGGGTGAAGCAGTTAGCGAGGTGTCTGACAGAGAGCGGGCCYAGAGACATCAGCTCTTCCTACTGTCACTCAATGTCAACAACCGCTCCGAACCTCTGACTGGTAGTAACCTGTCTGACTCACAAACCTAAAAACCAGGTTGCTCTTGGTTATCATCAGGGGTCCTTGTACCTCCCGCRACCCCACTGTCCGCCTGGCGAGACTTCCCTAGTTCTAAACGTTCCAAACAACACGCGTCACCCCCGCCTCCTGGCCTGCTCTGCCTGCCCCCTCTTCCCCACTTTTTAAAAACACATTTGAACAGAGCCCCCTTTTAAAAGAGAGCTACTGACTGTGGTTTCCTCTCTGCCCAGAGCAGAAACACGCCGGATAAAGAGAGATTATTTTAAGGAACATGCAGCTCAACACACTTCTAGTCCATGGAAAAATAATCGATCTAAAACCAGTTAAGGTAACTAAAGAAAGCGCTCCAAGAATTAACAATCCGGATTAAAAATAACAAGGCTAATTCATCTTCTCAAACAAGCCTCATTGAAGTCTGAGGTTTTCACCAGTSTCCCCCAATGACAAGATCACATGATTGTTTCAGACTCGATGCTCGTTTTCAAACTCAGTAACAGTGAAGGTTTCCTTTCAATAAACTTTGCTTTCTAGCAGCAATCCTGTGATTCGGCAAAGACTTTTTATACATGATAGTTTGTGTCTGTGCTCAAATAAAAAATGCTAAATTGTATGCTTTTCCAAAAAAAAAAAAAAACTAAAAGAGATAATGAGGGTGTGTTTTAATGAATCCAAGGAATATATAGGGACTTAAAGTTGATGAGTTGAGCACACAGAGTTTTCAAAATATTATCGGCCCAGGGTGGGGATGGAGTTTAAGAACCATGTAGAAAACATGATGTTTTATTTGACCTGCAGTGGGTTTAGAAATAAAACAGTTTCCAACATTTAAAACTCGGGAACTTTTACTTAAACATCTAGATTTTATGTTAAGCCTCCCACCCTCCCCCCTTGCCAATTTCTAGAGCCTTCCCCCCCCACCACCACCCTTTTTATTTTAGGGACAGGGTCTCCCTGAGTTGCATAGGGCCTCACTAAGTTGCTGAGGCTGGCTTTGAACTCTTGATCCTCCTGCCTCAGCCTCCCAAGCCACTAGGATGACAGATAGAGATTCTAGAAACAGTTGAGTCTGCCTTCCTACATAGAGCCATCAGCTGCCGGCTAGTCAGGGCTGATCCCTGGACCCAGCAAGGGCTCTGCCTTTGCCTCAGGCCCTGCTCCTCTCTGTTGTCACTTCCAGGGTGACAGGCGGTCAATGGCTATTTTCTTTAGGCTCGCACCTCTTTAGAGAAAGTTCTCTGAACCCTTATTATGTCCAGAGGGACGGGTTTTTTAAAGCAGCTATTTTTCTGACACTCCTCCACTTTGTTTATTTACATACCCGCCTGGCCCAGAGGTGTTGGAGTTTGAAATCAAGGGGTCCTCCCATCTACCGTCATGAAAGAGGTCAAGGTTCAAAGCCACATGCCATCATTTGCTAAACTGGGGTTGTAATTTAATCCAATTTAGAAAGTGTTCCCCACGCTCACAAAAATGTTTAATTGGGAGGGCCGTYTGGTGTATGATCCAATGACTTCATTGTGTGACTTCCCCACAGTCACGTGGCAAGTTCCTGACAAGGCTTGAGTCAGGACCCGGGGCTCCTGGGGCCAGCAGAGAGTCAGGGCCACCAGTCAGACAGGTCATGCCCTCGGCAAATGTGCCCAACTGGCTCYGTGTCCAAGGGGAAGGGTCCTCTTGCACCTGGCCAGAGCTGCTGCCACCAGRGAAAGCAGCTGAATTTTCTTAATTCACACAAAGACGTCGTGAGGACTCAGGGCAGCCCTGGGAAGGGAAGGACTGTGTCTCCACCTCTGTACAAAGAGCAGAGTCACATCTTCTCCATCCGTTTCTCTAGAAGAAAGGATATGCTGCTCCTGAAAGTTCTTAGAAAAATGAAGAGAGCAATCCCAAAAGTCAGGGGTGATTCTTTCCCTCTTTTTCAAAGCCACACCTCTTCTGCCTGCTCTTGATCCTCCTGCCTCAGCCTCCCAAGCCTGAGGGAGAAGAATCCGAGTCCCTCATGACCCCCACCCCCACACACCTTTGCGGTCAGGGTGGTGTTCAGGGCCTTGTAACTCAAAGCTGCAGAATCACCCRCAGTTTTCTGCTCCAGCTGGGTAACAACAAAGAGCCGCAGCCTGGGCCCGTAGACCACAGCAGCTTTATGTCTCACGCTCTGGAGGCTGGAAGGTCAAGACCAAGGTGTYGGCAGGACTGGTTCTGGGTGCAGCTTCTCTCCTGGCTGGCAGACGGCAGCTGCTTCCTTCTTCCCCAGCCGCACACCCACATTCGATGCCTCTTCGTCTTCTTAGGGGGACCCCACCCTGTTGATCAGCCCTCACCCTGATAGCCTCTGCCACCCTTAATTACCTCCTCAAAGACCCCACCTCCAAAAGCGGTCACACTGAGGGTTAGGGCTTCAACGTCCCAATCTGGGGGTACACCATGCAGTCCGCATCACCACCCCAGATCTACTGTGTCAAGTTCTTTTTTTTTTTTTTTTTTTGACAAGATCCCCAAGGATCCATGGGCACATWAGAGTTTTAGGCCCAGTGAGTCTATGAACAACTTTCAATCTTTCTTTTCCACATGGCTTTATGTATTTGTGCCAAAAGAATAAACATCTATGCTGTCACATAAGCCACTTTTATAAGCAGTATGTGTTCAATGCCATCAGTAGCATCCCTGTCACTTAATGCTATTCTGCCACATCCTACGATCGGATGACCCCAGCCTCTTCCACTGGACAAGTGCGCCTCGGGGCACCTGTATCTATTTCGTTTTCAGTGTTTACTGTTGTCAACCACAATTTGGGCACAGCCCTGTTGAGCCTCATGAATGCGAACCTAACCCTCCCTTCGGCCTGCAGGGGGTCCTCGTCCAGCCCAGTCTCCTCAGACCCCCAGATCCGGAAGCCCCTCCCAACAGAGGCTCTCCCCACAAGGCCAGCAACCCCTGAGCCCCCAGGCTGGATCCCCACAGCAGCAGCGGTCGCCAGGATCTCCACAGCTCTCCCGGGCATCTGGGGGCAGCTCCCCRAACCAGGCCTCCAAGCCGGGCACCAGCCTCGCCTCGCAGCCCCGGCCGCCCGTGCAGGGCCGCAGCACCTCGCAGCAGGCGGACGAGAGCAAGAAGACAGCAGCGCCCCATCCCCATCTCAAGTAAGTGCTCTGGCCACTGGGGCAGGAGACTGGGTGCCGGGCTCTTCAGGGTCAGGGACTCAGAGCAAAGAAAGATCCAAAGAGGCCTTTCTCCTGGGCTTTAAATAGGTGGAAACTGATCTGGGGCATTGCCTGGGTGGGGCAGGGCCCAGGGAGACGGAGAAGGGCTCCCGTGTGCCCCTCCATCAGCCCAGGAACTAGTTACCTCTTGCTCCTTAGCAAACCTCCCCCAAACTCTGTGAAAGCCACCATTTTCCTTGGTTCACAACTTGGGGGTTCAGCAGTTCACTCTGAGTTTAACACAGCCGGACAATGCTTCTGCTGTGTCTCCTGGAGAACTTCCGGGTACCATGAAGAATGCCAAGGTAGATTTGGATTTCAGATAAACGTGAAAACTTGGGGTATTTGCCTGGGGCGTGTTAAAACTTTAAAAACATATGCTTGCTTTTCGCCTGAAATTTTGAATGGGGTGACATGAATTTTTCCTTGCCAAGTATGGCAGCCCTCCTCCCCAGGTCACTCCTGTGGATTGGTGGACTGACTGGGGCCAGGTGGTGCTGGCGGTCAGCTGGCCCTGTCTCCAGGGCATCTCCTCCTCACCTGGTAGGATTGCTTCTAACAGGGCAAAAGCAGAGGCCTGAGGCGTTGGGGGCCCAGCTTGGAAGCTATACACCTGCCCTTGTCAAGCAGGTCACCTGACCGTGCCCAGATTCACAAGGTGGGGAAAGAGTCTTGGCGGAAGGAAGCACCTTGCAAATGGGTGGCCCACAGGGTGGGAGGAACCTGGTCATTTTTTAAAATAACCTTCATGACACACACGCACATCCTGCTTCCTYTCAGGGCTTGCTCTTGGTTTACAGAAAGAGGGATCCCAACCATGTGGCCCCTGGAAACTTGTCCCTGTACCCGAACACAAACAGCAATCATCACAGTTTCCCAGACCACACCACCGCCCACTTGCTCGGGGCCAAGCACTCTGTGAAGTGGGGTTTTCTTAGGTCCCCGTGAGCTTAGAAGTTAAAGACTCTCACTATCCCCRTCCTACACAGATGAATAAACAGAAGGAGACTGCAGAACTTGGCCGAGTTCCTATTGTTCGTAGATAGAAGGGTGAGGACAGAACCCAAGGCATCCATGATAACATGATTTTTTTTTTCAAATAGGTAATATATTCACATGGTTCAAAGATTTTAAAGACACTAATGATATAAAAGATAGACATTGAAAACCCTCACTCCAACCCCACTCCCATCCAGTGCTTTGCTCCCCTGGTCCCTAGAGACGACCATATTTGTTAATTCCTTGTCTGCCCTGCCAGTGTTTCCTTATACAAATAGAAATATATACCCTCTGATCCCCTCCTCGCTTTCTTACACTATGGCCATATTCACTATCCACACCATTAGGCTCCTTACTTTTCAGTAACAATACAACCTAGAGCTCTTCCACCCTGTTCATTGAGATTTTTAATAGCTGTATAGTATTCCACTACATTGTTGTACTTTGATTATCTAATTAGTCCACCTAAGTAAATATCTGGCTTTAACTTAAACAATGTTGCAATCTTGAACATCTATTTTTTTTTTTTGTGGTTTATCTAGCTAGAAACTCATAAATCTCCTGACTCCTTGTCGCTGTGGGGAAAAAAAAATATCCAGTTTGATAGATATTAACAAGTGCCCCTCAGGCAATAGGGCATTGTAACTGACAGCACAGGCTCTACAATCAGACTGTCTGGGTTCCAATCCCAGATCCACCATTTAAAAGCTGAATGACCTCCAATAAATTGCTCAACTTTTCTGTGCTACAGTGTCTTCACGTGCAAATKGAGACAGTATCTCGCTGGGTTATTATAAGACTGAAATGAGTTTCTGCACAGTGTGTGCTTAGAATGTTAAGGCACCAGGCAAGCTTGGAAATGCGCGGCCTGTCCCCGTGTACAAAGGTCACCGCCGCAGCTATTCACAGGGCAGGCGAGAGCTTTGGAACTTGAGCCAGGTTTGGGCACTGGCTTTGTGGTCATCTAGCTAGAATCCCATAGTCTCCTGACTCCTTGTTTAGCATATCCTTTCTTATTTTTTCATCTTTATTTTCTTGGCAATGCTGGGGGATGAACCCAGGGCCCTGTGCGTGCTAGGAAGTGCTCCACCACGGAGCTACACCTGTAGCCCTAGAGTATCATTTTATTTAGTTCAAGTCGGCAGATATTTACCAGATACCCACTCTGGGCCTCATCCTGGATAAGGCTTTTACGGGTTCATAAGGGAGGGGAAAAACTAGTCCCCACTTAGAAGAGATCTCCATTTTTTAATGTGTTGACAAGGCGGTGTGCAGACCCTTTAAACTCGTGACGTATCCACATCATCCCATCCTATGTCACCTCCCCTGGACTGTGAACGTTTCAAGGGTAGGGCATGCTGCATTTGTCCCTGCACCCCATCAGCTGGCTCTGGGGCTGGCACACAGGAAGGGCTCAGCAGGATGGCTGCAGGCCAGCTCCCGTGACACAGAGAAGGCACGGGGGTCTCATCAGCTGGGACCATGGAAATTCCAAAATGGTGGGGGTGGGGCAACCATAAAGGCCTTGAGAAAGAGGTGGGAACAGAAGCCCAGAGGGTCAGATCCGGATTCCCACTGTGGGGCACCCCAGTTGGCCCAGGGCGTCTGAGCACACGGGGAGGGGGGGGGGGAGGTCCGGCCTCCCTGGGGAGGCCTGCTGCCTGGGCAGCCTGGGTGAGGGGCAGGAGCCGAGGCCTGGAGGCCGCCCCTCTGGCTGTGAGAGTCCACCAGAGCAAGACCTGCCTCCGCCAGCCCCGATTTCTGTACCTAACGAACGGGGATCTCAGCAAGCGCTTGCAGATCGGGTGACATCCCCACCAGTCCCAGGTAAGGGCTGCGACGCCTGGGTTCTGGTCTCTCAGGCCTCTGGCTTTTGGGACAGCCCCAGGCCCAGGTCCTCGGGAGCCCGGGCCTTGGCCCCACCACCTCCTGGCCTCTCTCTTGCAGCAAATCTCAGTCCCTGACTAACAGCCTCAGCACCTCGGACGCCTCCCAGCGCGGGACCCCGAGTGAGGACGAGGCGAAGGCCGAGACCATCCGCAACCTGAGGAAGTCCTTCGCCAGCCTCTTCTCCRACTAGCCCCGCCGGGCAGAGGCCAGGAGCCCGGGACCCTGGGCCCTCTCCTGGCCCGGCCTCCCCCTCGGCCTTCGTTCCTGGCAGGAAGAGGAGGCCGGGCCCGAGAACACACTTTCTAAATGCCTTCGACCCAGGAACGGGCTGACCGTCTCCGTGTGTCCCCACTGTGCTTCGTCCTGACCCCAGGGCCGTCTGAATGAGGGGTGGGCCCTGGAGAGCCGCCGGGCTCCCCAACTTCGGCCTCTAGACAGACCGCGCCACCCGCCGTCCCCTCGCTTGCTCCCCTGCCCCGACCAGTGACGTCTGTTCCCACAGCTTCCACATCTCTCCTTAGTGCTGTGCGTGCCCTTGGGCCGGGTCCCCTCCCAGGCCCTGGCCACCCCGACCCAATGCAGCCCCTGGAGTCGACCCCGCCACCCAGGAGGCAATAACTTTTAACAGCAAAGAAAGAAAAACCCCAGCAGGGACTCTACCCCCTGCCCACACCCGTGCTGGACCTGCCCTCAGAGCAGCAGGCAGAGGCCCTTCGCGGCCAGGGCAGGGGGGGAGGAGACCTGAGGCCAACAGGAAGAAGCCAGACCTGGGCCACACGTGGGGCCTTTAAACAGCAGAAGCAGAGACGCCCTCGGGTGCTGCCCAGGCCGAGGGTGGCCCTTAGCTGGACAGCCGCGGTGGGCACAGGCTCTTGTAGGAAGCCTGACCATCCTCGCCACCTGCCCGTGTGTCAGGACCCAGGGAGAATCAGCRGACCCAGGCAGGGGACAGAAGGGCTCCAGGTCAGCGTTGCGCAGACCCTGCCCTCAAGGCCCTGGTGGGCCTCTCAATTCCAGGAGGGTCCCGTGACCAAGGGGGCTTGGGAAACACTGTTAGGGGACTCCTTTGGAGACGCAGAGTGCCAAGTAGGTGGCAAAGGCTCTTGGAATTCCTGCAGGACAAACGATCAGCTCTAACTTTATTTTATCCAACTTATTTGACCAAGCAAGTGAATGACAGAGCGGACCGGGCTCTCTCCCCTGTCCCAGCCCACCTCCTGTGATCAGTGGAGCCAGAGCGGTCCCRAGTCACCAAGCACCTGGTGCTAGAAACATCATAGGTGCAGAAGCAGCCTCCCGGGCCCAGAATATTGTGACCTCACCGTGTTATCCCCTCACAGCCCACTGGGAAACTTGAACATGTCTTCCCCTCACCGTCCTCGGGMAGGAGGTGAAAACTAAAGTTGGCCTGGAGATTGCTTAGCCATCAGCTGAGGCCTAGCCAGGTTCCCAGGAGCATAAGACAGTCACCACCTTTTGGTCCTTTCAACCCAGACTGAAGTGGTGAGGACAAGGACAGAGACTCTCTCCTGCATTGGGTCACTAGAACCCTGAGCCTCACGGGTTAATGGCTAGAGACTGATACTGGCTCAGTATCAAAGTGCTAACCTGACTGGCCGACAGAGGTCCACTTGGACCTTAGGGTCATCCCCATCTTGCCCTCTTTCCTCCCTCATGATCAGGTCAGTGTTGAAAGCAAGAGAGCCTGAGCTACATGAGAGATCCTCTCCTCCTGGTCAGGATCCCTGGTCTTGGACTCAGTAATAAGTAGCAGCTCCAGCATCAGAAACATCAGAGAGCTCCTGTTGGCAGTGACYACTCAGAGCCATGGTTTGGCAGCTGAGGCCTGGTTGGCCCTGACGAGGATCAGCAGAAAAAAAAAACAAAAACCCAGCCGTGGCATGAGGTGAGGGGACAGCTGGTGAGGGCCTGGTTCTCTTCCCAGTACCCAGAAGACCCCACCCCCTTATTCTGTTGTGTCCTGTTGAGTTCAGTGTCTCTGGGACTATCCCTGGTGGCACGGGGGACCTCACTGTGCCGCATCTCCTTCCTCCTCTCTCAGCCTGTGCCCTGTGGCAGGACTGTAAGCAGGCCACTACTGGCCAGGAGCAACAGGGGCATCCCGGGGCAGCGCAGATTGGGAGATGGCCAGCCCAGTCGCCTGGAGGGGACTGCAGCTGCCTTGGGAGCATCACCTTTGTCGCATTCCGCTAGACCCCCAGGCAGGAGCGGCGGGGCCTTGGGGCCAACACTTGCCCCGCCCCCCACTTTGGAGAGGTCGTCTGAAGGTGGGGAACAGACCAGTTCATAATTCAACAGAACTTTGCTTTTCCTCCTTTTCCTCTCTTCTGCTACCTGACCTCCTTCTCTCCCTCTTCCTAACAACCTCTCGAGGACACGGGCCAGGCAGGACAAAGGGAACAAGACAGTGGTGTCCAAGGCGGGTGCCTTTGGAAGCTGTGGTGCTGCCGTGCTGGGCGTTGAACCCAGGCCCGCAAGTGCTGTACGGCTGAGCCACAGCCCAGGCCGGTACACCTAGCCAAAGAGCGTGTGAATATCAGTCCAATAAGGTTTGCTCRTTGGCCCTGATCAGTCAGTGATCGGGGATCCTGGAAGTTCCAGCGCCCACGATTCCACGCAGAGGTAACCACTGGACATGGACACGGGTACATCCTAAAATCCTGTCGTCACCCTTTAGTTTGTAGTTCTCTTTCTAGGGGGTCTCTGACAACAGTAACCCACGGCTTCCCCGCTTGGCCCTGAGAAGTTAGGGGTCACTCATGTAGGTCTCATGTTGAGAGAAGCTGAGCCCCAGCCTCATGGGCCTCAAGGCCAGGGGCCCCCACTTCTCTCCTGATGGTGGCAGTTGAGTTTGCTCCCGTAGAAGGACCAGGGGCTCTGCCCCTAGGTGTTCATCACATGATTCCAGCACAGAGTTCCAGGACTTGCAGTCTGGTTCTTCTACTTTACAAGGTATATTTCTTGCCCCCGTTTTTCATGGGTAGATCCTTCAAAGAAATAATGCTGAGCTACTTTCTGAATCAGAGGGTGAGAGAAGAACTGGAGGTCCCAGGATGTGGGACCACAGAGTCCATGTGCTRTAGGAGCTTAAGAACATGGGACACCCCGTGGCCATCATCAGTCCTTGACAACCCCCCAACGCTCTGTGATACCACACAGCTCCACACGCACAGCCAGCTGGTCACAGGCTGCAGGGAGTTTCTCAGTGCGGCCCTGGCTTGTGCAGAGTGGTTACAAAGGCAAATGAAGCCTCCTTTCAGACCAAAGGAGTCAGAATTTCTAGTCAGGGGCCCAGAACCGGCCTCGGCCAGTCTCCCTGGTGGTGTTTYGATGCCTACTGAAGTAAGATCAGCTGCTCTGAGCTCAGCTGGACGGGAGCTCAGCTGGACAGGAGGCCGGGCACGAGAGGCGTTTGGTCTGGATGTGTTTCAGTCACCAGTAGCTTGGGACCTGGTCCCTTGAGGAGCCAAATTCGTGGCTCCATAAACAGTGACCACATGGCCTAAATTTTCCTGCTTTCCTATATTCTGTCCCTTGTTCCTAGAAACATCTCAGCATTTAAATGTCCTCCCTGATACTCCAACTACAGGAACACAGTCCTTTTAAACTCCTCCTCATCCTGATTTTTACAGCCATCACAGATATGTCTAGATCCATGACAAACAACTTTTATAATCAACAAATCTGAATAGTTTTCCATGGGTCTATACATGCATCTAGAGGCCAGGGATGGAGAGGCCTATGGATGGAGACCTGGAGTCCCCAAATGGACGGTTTTCTCCCATATACTAGCACATGTTCCTTCCCAAAATTTAACCTTTAATAACTGTGGCATTTAGAAACTGGAAAGGACAGAAAGAAAAGGGGAGTCACTGTATATAGATTCAGAAAGGTTACATTTGTTGTTTTTTGCTTTGTTTTACACTTTGACCCAAAGAAAGGCCAGCATTTTCCCTCCTAGCTGACTTGTTGAAGCTGAAATACAACAAAGATCCATTCAATTTGCGCACAATGGTAGGGATTTAAAAACACAGCTTCAGAGGATTCCCGCCAGCCAGGGAAAATTTCCTGCAGATCTTCCTGCATCCGCATGATAAAATGGCACTGTGCTTACAGGTTCAAGCACCTTTCCAGGGACACCAGAGTGCATGTATCCTCTTTCCCACCAACTCCCTGGTTCTTTCATTACTATATTCCCTCCTAATATTCACGCCCTGTGCAGAGATAGGGCAGTTAGCGCTACCTTCCCCAAATTCCAGGTGTGATGGGTGTTCTCCGTGTGATAACAGACACGGCAGCATGAAACAGAACATCAGGTGATCTCACTGCAGTTCCTGTAGTGAGGTACCTTGTGCATGAGGCAGAGTATACGCATAGCTCGTAGTAGGTGCTCAGGGCATGTTTTAAGTGGGCCCTCCTAGCAAACTGTGATGTTAATAAAATATAAAAGATTAAACTCAAAGAAAAAGGCTGTCTTTCAAAGTGTATCATTGTCAGGAAGTCACTTGCCTAGAACCAAACCAAAGATTAGTAAAATGTGGTAAAATAAAGAAACTGGAAAAATCAGAGACAGTTTTCCAACCTCAGAAAGATCTCCTCTAAACTGAATCTGAAAAGGAAGGGGAGCCACCTGAATGAGCCTGAGACAGCCATCCTGGTGAGCATGGGCCTGAGGCCAGGGGACCCATGGCTGCCACTGCTGGGAGCYGGAGAAGGACTAGGGAGCCACAGCTGGGTGCCGTGAGGCCGGTGCAGCCAAGGCCATGGCCAAGCGCGGGAAGCAGCCTCTTGCAAGCCATATCAATCACACCTCCCCAGAACACAGCTTCCCCACAGCCTCAGCCCAGCAAGCAGGCCAATCTTTCCTACTTTACTCAGCTCCATTAAACAGCTGGGTGGCTCACTCTGTTCTGTGTATCTGGAATTTTACTAAGGACGCAGGTTGGTCAGGGGCTGGGCTAGCAAAGCCAGCCTTGTGGATACAAGGAGTCGCTTAATTCATCCACGGGGACTAGCTCAGTGCCCAAGTCCTTTCATGTGTATAGCATGCGTTTATCCTGGAGGGCGAGCTGGCTGGTTACTAAACACACTGACAAGGGTCAAAAGCTGTCCAGGCCCCTAAGTGGCCACTGATTAAATTAACGGTTTCAGCCTAATTAATATTTAGACTCTAATAGGAGGTGGCACTTTGGGCTTGGCTGAATACAAATGGACGGCGGGGCAACAAGCAGGCCAAGTCGCTCCATTGATCAAGCTTGGTGAAAACAGGACAACATAAAAGCTCCCTTGTGTTTCCACAAACAAAACAAGCAGCCCACAGAGATGAGATGTGGACACTTAGACCTTGTGCTCAGCTCTCAATGGATAGGCCAAGAGGAAAAGGCAAGAAGAGTTTGGGAAATGGTTTTGGAATTAGTGAGGCATTTCTTTAAGGAAAACCCAATTGAAGCATCTCTGTGTGTGTGTGTGTGTGTGTGTGTGTGTGCGCGCGTGTGAATCCTTTAAAATCTTAAATACCTTTTATAATATCTACACCGTTGGTCCTGCCAATTTTAACTTCATTCTCCAAACTCACCTATTGCAAGTGTCTTTATCCACGGTCTTCCATTAAGTGGCAAGTGGACATTTCCCTGTCCATCAGCATTTTGCTATGGAATATCAGAAACAARTCCTCCAACCTGTCAGGGAATCCCRGGGGACACAGTGATGTYAGTCAGTTAAATCTCTGTGACTTACCTAGGCCACTGCAATAATCTTACCACCCTGCGCCCTCCTGTCTGGTGGAGTCTACCCAGGAGTCAGCCCATGCTCCGGCACAGAGAACAGGGGCGGGCTGCCCAGCTCCTCTGGGAGGCTCTGTAAGTAGGCCACTACTGCCCAGGAGCAGGGCCCTGAGAATAGTCAGCAGAGGGAGGAATAAGAAAGTAGTGCAGAGATATTGAGCGAAGCAGTGGTTTCAGCCATTGGAAAGAACCAAGCAAGAGCCAGAGAGKTCAGAATCCAAGTTTTACACAAGGAATCCCAGTAACTACCTGGAAAGCAAGCCCACCTCCCATGTCTGGATCACCAGCCCCTCCAAACCAGTAATTTTCATTTATAAGTAGGGGTGGGGGAGGGGAGCAAGCGCCTGTTACTCAAAATAACTAAAGGGGGAATTTTAAGGGAYCAAAGAAAGACTCAAGTCACCGATGTAGATCTGCACCTCACCCGACACTTGCCCCGGAGCTCCATCTCGCTTCYGTGGTCAAGTTAATGTCAGAAAATCCCACGCTGAACAGGCTACTGCCAAATCGCCATTTCCCTCCCATTACATACCAGCAACACGTGCAGCTCACAGTCTCAGTCTAGGGACAGGATTGTAGGGTTTCACAAGCTTCTGTGAATTTAGCTACTGTCATGAGCAAAAATGTTGAAATTTGTTTTAAGAATATGTAATGAACTATTGTAAAAGATGCGCAAATTGAGGTTTAGGGCCTGTGGGCAAAATTCTAAACTGAGAGGGTTTGTGACACCTGCCAGTGAGCCTGAGCAGAGGCAGGGAAGAGCTTCTGTACCCACGGTCACCAGCACCATCATGGACTCTTGAGGACTGCTCAAAAATGACTGCATCCCGAAAACCGGTGYTTCTGGTTATCACCGGCTCCCACGCCCACTTTCCTCCCTCTCAGAATCTCTTCACTGGGACTCAACATTATATGGCCACAAAGAGGCGTACAGAGCATTAGAATATATCTGGGCCCATGAAAGCTTCGGGGTGACCCTTTTAGCCAAGACCCTCTCCCCCCCGAAAAAAGCCATATGGCATCTAGCAGAAACTCATTTTAAAAAGACTGACCTGTACCTCAGATATTACAAAATACCACAGAAAGAAAAGTCCACAGCCCTGATCCGCTTTCATACATTAAGCTACTAAAGGTCCTGTGGCTTTCAGAAATTCATATTGACTGGACTTTCTTCACTGTGATGGAAAAAGACTCAATGTACATGTGTAGTAAAAAAAAAAAAAAAAATGGTTTCGCTTGTAAATGACTCAAAATATTCTTGCAGCACATAACATTCCAAGCCATCTCCTTATATGCAAAACAGATTTTTTAAAAAGCAGGAAGACACTGGCAATATTCCTAAATATTTTCTGCAAATGCTATTCATGTTTTATTCCTATTGTGATTCAGATTTTAATCCGTGTCGATAGCATGTTTCTTTGGTTGTTTGTATATATATGATAAGTCACTTGTGCTTGGCCTTTTTCTCGTTGTAGGAAAAATAAACCTTGAATTTTGTGTAAAAGCAAATATTCTTCAAATGTTCTTTAAATAAGAGGCTATCTTTGAAAAGCAAGTAGCTGATCAGMACTCAAAGCATAACTGTGGTAAAAAGAAGTCATCTACTTAGATGATAAATAAAGCTACTGTGTTCAAAACACGAGGGGCGAGAAGTCTCCACAACCTCGCTCCAGCAGGCTCCAGTACCAAGAATCCCCAGAAGCCAGCAGTGTTCAGCCAGGGCTGCTTCAGCGCCCAGAAGTTCCACCATAACCTGAAAGAGCTACAGAGAAAGGGAAAGCGCGCACCCAGCCCAAATTTAACAGAACTAGTTTTGCTTTTATTGATTTTATAAATTCAGTTTTCACTTAAGGAAGACCATTTTAAAAAAAGAAAAAGAAAAGAAACATATAAACTCCCTGCAATAATAATCTGCTTAACTCAGTAGGTTCTTTGATACTTTCAAAATATCCAAGTAACACTGTGCACTTGTTCTAAATGTTTATTCTATATCTTTCTGTAAAAGAAGTCAAGATAGTCATGTAACTTAGATGGTTTTTTAATCTGTTACACAACATTATCAGTATAACAACTCCATTCTAGACAGGAATCCAGAGCAGGGAAATCAGCAGSCAACTATTCCTGTGGCCAACCTTTCCACAGAGCAGCCTTCAGGCCACACCACCCCTGAAGCTGTCAATACCCACAGAAGCTCTGGGAGTGCAACTCTCACCACATGTTCAGAATCAGCACTAGAGATCGGCACCCCAGGGAGACGGCATCTGCAGCTTTAAAACACATAAACAAAACCAGTCGAGCCTCAGAGTGAGATTGCAAACCATCACATGAATGACAGCCGGCTGTCAGGTGACCGACCTCTACTGGGCCTGAAGGGAAATCTGTCATTGGGCCCCCCTCGCCCTGGCAAGATAGGGTTTGGTCCCGGAAGTGGGCCAATTGGATCAAAACGTGGTCTGAGTGGAGGGAACTGGCCAGGTGTCTCCCCGGGCCCCGGGATGAGTGAATTGATAGGGTCCCCGACATAGGGCAGTGTTGGTCTTTCGTCGTATTCACCACCGATGATTCCTGGAGGAAGCAGGGAGCTGGGATGGAAGGGGTGCAAGGGACTGGGATAGAATGGGATGGGGTAGGGCGAAGACGGCAGGAACATCACGTGCCGCCCTCTCTGAGCTTCTTTTCTTTGTTTGTGCCTCTTCCTGTATAACTACAGGAAAAAAAAAAAAAAGAACAAGATATGGTAAGTGGTTTAGATGTTTCCCCAGCAGTCAAGTTGATCAGCRTCCACCCGTCCCCACCCTCCTTCCTACACCATCCAGGCAGACAGCAGTGCGCAGGAGAGCCGGGGCAACGTGTCTCTGCAGACAGGGCAGCGCCAAGTGAGCTCTGCTCTTGAACACCACTGCAACTGAGCCACTGGGTTAATCTGAGGTCACAGTACATCCAAAGAGGGCAAGTGAGTGGCACTCTTTTCAGAGCTCCCAGCTGATACGCAAGTGTAGGTTAGCTTTTTGTGAAAATGGGAAATTTAAATATGTGTTTTAAATGTCATGCCACAAAACATAAAGTCAGGTATTGGAAGGATGAGGGGCAGCACTTAATTCATTTTTTTCACCTAAATTAYGTCCCCAATGGATCTCCACTTAAAATAGAAAATAAGTGCCTATTTTCGAGTATGGAACATATCCTAAATAATAGTACTGTGTTTTGTACATATTTGAGAACTTTCACTGAATTTTTTTTTTCTCTATTCACCACCGATGAGTGGTGAATAGAGAATAATAATAATAATTAGTCTTATCAAAGTATTTTATAGTAATCACGCACAAATAAAACAATATCAATATCGTTTGTTCTTTGCACAATACACTATGCTAACTGGCTGAATGGTTAAGGTTATTCCAGGACAACAACTCAAATTTTTTTTTGCAATAAAGCAAGAATGTTTTATGTAAAGATAAAAGCAATCTTAGGCTTTTTGTTAAGATTTCTTTTCTGGGGCTGGGATTGTGGCTCAGTGGTAGAGTGCTCCCCTAGCACGGGCGGGACCCAGGTTCGATCCTCAGCACCACATAAAAAAAAAAATAAAGGCATTGTGTTGTGTCCATCCACACCTAAAAAATAAATATTTTTTTTATAAAAAAAAATTCTTTTCTGTAATATTACAGGAACACAAGAACTACATCTAAAGTAAAAGTTGAAAACGTTTTCATTTTTGAAGCTAGGTTTCATTACATCATAATAAAAGTGAAAATATACTCTTGATGCATTAGTTTACTGGTTACTTCTGGGTCAAGCACACTGGCCTTGATATTTAAAAATACCTACTTCTTTCCAATCTGTGTCTCGAGCTCTGACAGTACTATCTAGAAAGTAAAACAAAAAATGAGGAATTAAAACATTTCATTCATCTGACATTAAACATCATTTGTTTTTGTCCTAAAGAAACTGAAACTTACCCATTTAGCATAAAGAGGAACACGGGACATTTACATAACACATCATTCCTTTCCTGAAACTAATTCAAACCCTTTCTCAATAGCACTGGGGGGGGGGGGGCTGTCACTGCCCAGTGCACTGTGGTAATTCCCACTGTGATTCCAAGGACTCATGTGGCCGCCCCACCCTTCAACCGGTCACATGCACACTGTCCTCACCAGCCTCATCCAGGTGTGCCAGCTGGTGTGCCAGCTGCTCCCCCTGTTGCACCAAACAAGGTTCGTATCATAATCCTCTTTCTTTGCTGCAGGGCAAACTGATTTAGGCTTTCTTCCATATTTGGGTTAGATTATTTCCTCCCAACCACAAAAATGATTTCAACTACCAAAAGTATGAGCACAATTAAGGTCTTTTTTGTGTGCTTATAATAATAGTWCTTCATTCTAAAGAATTTTTCTCATTCTTATATATATAAATATATGTGACATGAGGACAGAAGATACCAACCAACTTTAGGACTACGGAAGAGTCTGGATTAAAGATGGCGATGTCTTCTCTACCAATTATTGCAACCACAGAAGTCAGAGTCAAGGCTCCAACTCTGCAACACTTGCCCACAGGKACATGCAGCTGGTGGAGGAGCCTGTGAGTACAATCTGGAAATGAGAGARCTGGATCCCCCTGGAAACCCAGACTGCAACACGCGTGGAAGGACGTCTGCRTGGAAGGACGTCTGTCCTTTGTTGCATGTCACAACCTGCGATCCTTATCCACTCCAGATGTGCTCATCACTTTGTCTTTATTTTTTTATTAAAATATTTTTAAAAACTTTTAAAAATGACATTTGCTGACAATTATGACAAAATAGCATTTTAGACTTTAGATTCAGGAGAGTAGGTAACAGAGAGAAGGAAAAGAGTAGGTGACAGGGAGAAGGAAAAGGAACAAACCAGGGCACGCACACTGCCCACATTTTGAAGTTTTAAAAGAAAAAAACCAAAAATTTTAATAGTCCAAATGACTACACATGGTATCCTGCTTTTAAAAAAAGGCTTCTAGCCCCAGATGTTTAGTTGCTGACATGCTAAATCTTATCATCCATTTTTATTATATGAACCAAAGATATATTTTGCACTGCAACAGAGACTACACCTACAAAAACATAACTAAATAGGAATCTATTTCTATTATAAACAGATACTGTTTATAAAAAATACTGATTTTTCTATTGTGGCTTTGCTTTGTTTTGGTGCGTGTGTTTCTGTAAATGACATTAAGTTGACAACATGACTCCCTCGAGGGCCAAACAATTTGAAAGATACCAACAWGCAGTAACACACTGAGAGGCAGCAGAAAGAAGTGCCACGAGCAGGCTTTCGGCCTTGACCTGGTAAACAGATTCTAATGTCATAGCCACCACCAAAATGATCACCAGGTAACCTCAGTGTGACCATATGGACCTGGCACTGCCCTAGTGTGTCAATGGTGAGCAGCTCCCTAACTACAAGCAGGCCTCAACCAGTGACTGGGTAAGAAGCGCAGCTCATTTCCAAGACGCTGAGGGGGGCTTTAGAGAAAAGTCAGAGAACAAACCTGTCTTACTTTCACTTCTCTATCCTCAAATAATACACTGAGTCTAAGGTGTTATTTGTGTTGCCGAGAACACAAAAATGAGTGGAAAGAGTTTCTGGAACACAGGCAAAGACTTAGGATCTCTTTATRCTAAGGGTGTTCCTTATCATTCGCAACTCAAAAAAAAAAATCGTCTGGCAAAGCCAAGTACCCTTGGCCCTGACAGCCAGAGAGAGAAAGACCCTCTTCCTAAGCTAACCGGGCCACACGGAAATCACCTCGAAAGTCTCGCAGGTACAGACACCTCCACAGCAGCGGGTCACTTGAAGCAATAAAGAGGTCCCGACAGACTGCAGACAGACACAACACAGAGCGAACATCCAGGAGTCGGAAGATCCGCAGCTTCAGTTCCAATGGGAGGACCACCAACCCGAACACGTCTGGAAGGTTCAGGGCTAAAAGAGAAGAGAGAAGCAGCAGGTACAYTGAGTCAAGGGCATCCAGGTTTTCCCCACACAAAAGCTGCCACCCRTTCCTTTCTAAAGCAGTGACAGACTAGACAGTCCCGATTATCCTAGTACGCATCCTCCACACACATCTTTAACCCCACCTGACTCTATTACCACGAACTCACACAACTCTAGGCTCCTCACTCCCTTTACATTTTGYAGAAAGACATATACTTTTTAATACAGATTAAATAAATGACAGGGTCAACTGCTAAATACTTGCCACTGGCTTATTCTGCCTCCAGCAATATTCACTGCAATAAAATCCCTCTACTCAGCTGCAGTGAATGGACAACCCACCGGCTTTTCAGAAATGTTCCACCCCAGCCACCCCCGCCACCCCTGCCTTTTACCAGTTCTGTGCCTCAGGACATGTGAAACTAACTCAATTTCCTGCACAGTGGGCTGGAAGTATTACCTAGCACCTACCTTACCATGTTGTGAAAATTAAATGCATAAATAGCACCATGTTTAGAAAACATTTGGTATATCACAAGCACTCGAGAGTTAGAAATAACTATTATCTGACATTTAGCAGGCTAAAGAAAAAGGAAGATAGAGAAATTCAGAAGCAAAGCCAAGAAAGGAAAACAAAGAAGAATATGTACCAATGTCAAAAGATTTTTTTAATTACAAATCAAGTATCTTTCATTTGAAATGCTTGGGACTGGAAGTGTTTTAGAATTCAGTTTTTTGGATCCTAGAATATTTGCACAAACTTCACCAATCAAGCATCCCTATTCCAAAAATCCAAAATCCAAAACCTTTTGAAGGTCTTGTTTCCAATTTTTGAGTATTTCAGATTTCAACTTTCAGACCTGGGGATGTTCAACCTATACTAGCTCCTCTGCAATATTTACAATGCTAGTCTGCACTAGCAAAGAAAACAAAAAACCCAATAAACAAGAGTTTTCAAATTCAAGGCACTCCCCTTCTCTCATTACCAACTAAAGAAGAAAATAATAGCCAGGGCACCATGCAGCTTGAAATCAAAAATATTTATTTCTCAACATATAAATAGTACATAAAGCTTATGTATCTGTGCAAGTCCAAAACTCYTTATCAGCTGAAGGACTGTGGTAAATCGTATGCTGGTTCTCAACAACTTCCCACCCGTGATTAGACTTCCTTGGGCCCCTACTATCAGGTTTGGCCCCTTTTAACTTACTCTGTCCAGTGATACGTGAGCGGAAGTGACCCTTCATTTCTGGGCCAAAGCTTTAAGATCCCACACAGGGTTGGGCCACTGCTCGCTGTTCCCACTGCCCCAGGGAGAGCATGTCCTGGCTAAAGACCACGCCTCGAGAGAAAGCAAACCACACACCACATGCACACGACTGACAAAAATGCTCACTTTAAGTGAGTAAGAGTTTTAATATATTTTTTACTGCAACACAAATAAGAGAAAATGAATAACAAGGCTTTTGACTGAACTATAAATCTCACAGAATCACGATACTGTCATCCATAAAGCAAGTGTAATAAAATCTACTTTAATGTTACTAGCACTAAATATCCACCAGCTTGTAAACATCTGACAAAGTGCTGGACAGAGTCCCCAGTCAATGTTGGCTTAAGAAACAAAAACAAAAAACTTAGRCCCAATGTACAAGCTATTTATTAATGTTATTTGTGTTTCCTGAACACTTTTGGGGATCTGTGCTAAACCATGGAATGTCAAAGTGAGTAAGACTTATCCCTACTTTCCATTCACAACCTTACAAGGAGAGAAATCACACAGACAATTACGACACACTGTAAAAAGCTACAATAAGAAAACAGACAAAATGCTACGAAAACACACCCAAAGGACGTGATACCACTGAAGAAGTAAACTGAAGCCCAGTCTTAAGAGAAACTTTCAGTAGGAGAAAAGAGATAAGGGAGACATCAGAGTCACCAAGCATACCACGTCCCCTGACTGCTGTTCCCAGCCTTAAACTGGGGCGACTCCTCACCGCTCCTCACCTTGCCTGGTGACAGCCAGAAGAGGGTACACCAGCTGGTCTTTGAAGAGGCGGGACAGCTTCTGAAGGTCTTTGTACACTTTGGCTGCATTTTCCCCTAGAAGATTTTTAGAAAATAAAAATCAAAACACAAAAAGTGTTTTCAAGTGGAAAAACTTGAAATGACGTCTGTCTTCTGTATCTACCAAATCAAGGTGGTAAACAATATTCATAAGTAATTCCTACAGATAAACAGCAACCAAAGTCCCTAGTTGAGAAAGAGGCATGACTGATGAGTGCATGACTGATTAAAATAGATCGTAGAGGTAAAGCTAAAATTCCCAAATCAAATCACCAGAGCTGTGCCCAGCCCACTAGCTCCTAGGCTATGACCACAGAGAACACTGCTGTGTGAGATTCACACATAAAGCAGGGATTTCCAGACTGTCCACCAATCCGTTCTGGACCCTGGACACACAGCAGGGAATTGCTCTGATGGAGCTCAGAGCTTAGTAAAATAACAGTATTTATCCCATGATGACTAGGTATCAGCAGTGCCAAGCATTTTTTTGAGCCTTTCTCACATCAGCAATTCTCCCCTAAGAAAAAGACAGATACTATTATTCCCATTTTAAAAATAGAACAAAGTACAATGAGCATGTCCACAGCCACAGTGAGTGGCAGAGCAGGGAGAGTACAAACCTAAGGGTGTCTAGCTCCACAGAACTTACCCCATGGACCCACAGAACTGGCATCACCCAGGCAATGTCAGCCCTGCCCAATCAGAACCCGCATTTCAATAAGATCCCAGGGGATCCACAAGTACAGTAAGGTGTGGAAGCACACCAAACTGCCCCGAGGTTCCCACTCTACTTCTGCCATTTACCAAGTGTACAACTTGGAACAAATTACCTACCTATCAAACTCTCACCTCTTTAAGGAAGAGACCACCACTACCTGGGAAGAGTTGTTAAAATGGAAAGCTCCACACACAGTGCACAGTACACCAACAGCACCTGCCTGCTCCCTTCCCACCCATGTCTATGTACTTCACTATCTATAGCAACACGCTGTTTATCAATTGATTCACAAGCACAAGGAAATAGATGCAGTTAAACTCTAAATCTTTGCCATGTGAACCTGCAATCAAGTCTGAAATCTAATGTCCAGACCTCATTTTAAAAATAAGCTTGTTTCAAGGCCTTTCCTCAAGGGTGAAACTGATTTTCTTTCAGTGTTTTCCTTTAGCAACCTATCTTATAAATAATTAGGGACTTAAAAGGTCCAATAACAGTATTTATGGAAAGTTACCAGGGTCTACACTATAACCCACAGTAAAACTCATTAAAAATGACTTGCCAAACAGCAAATCTCTACCCAACATAAAAGCACCTTATTAAAAATACTTAATTAGGGGCTGGGGTTGTGGCTCAGTGGTAGAACACTGGCCTAGTATGGGTGAGGCTCTGGGTTCGATCCTCAGCACCATATAAAAATAAAACAAATAAAAATAAAGGCATTACGCCCATCTTACAACTAAAAAAAAAAATTTAAATACTTAATTGAAATAGTCCATAAACTTATATAAAGGTATTAACTTTCTGACTCCATTTCCTTTTTCCATAAGGGAAATAAGATTAAGAAGAATCTGAGCTAGATTCTCTACAGAAGCTGTTTTTAAAAGGATAGCAGCCAGATGTATCTATTCCAATTTAGAAAAAAATTCTAAATCCCCCTATTTATTAGGTCTATACCTGTGAAGAAACTTAATCTCCTCTAGACCTGTTTACTGACCTATCAAATCGTCATAAAAAAATTACTGTAGAGTGTAGGGTACTTCTTCCACACCAAAGTCCTCCCTGGTAGAGATGAATATAGTGATACAGCCAAGGAATTTCAAGTTTTTATGATTCTAATAGAAAGGCACCTTTATAGATTCATCAGTCTAGTTCATGCATCTAAATTCAAGATCGCCCCCAAGGGAACTAAACCTGGTTCTGGAGAGCAAACAATACCCTAGCTCTATAAGGGTTTGTGACCCCCAAAGGGTCATAGTGTATAAATACATGGTATATTTGTGGTATTAAAGCTTAATGGAGGACAGCAATTAAGGAAAAAGAGAAAAAAAATTTACAAACACTCCTCAGGGGAGTTAATAAAAAAGRRAAAAAAAAACAAGGTTAATACTGGTCTAATCTCACATCAGATGTTTAATTCAGCTAATGCCCAAGTTCTATGTTCAACCAAAGACATTATGAACAATCTCCTGTCATCTTAATCTCATTTAAAAGTTTCAGTCTTTTTATTTTAAATTTTTTTTATTTGTTTTAATTAGTTATACATGACAACAGAATGCATTTATGCACTTGATATATCATACATAGATAGGATACAATTGCTCATTTTTCTGAGTGTACATGTTGCAGAATCATATTTGCCATGCAGTCACATATATACATACAGTAATAAGTCTGTTTCATTCTACTGTCTTTCCTATCCCCACATCCCCTCCCCTCCCCTCCCCTCCCCTCCCATCACTTCCCTCTACCTAATCTAAGGTAACACTATACTTCCCTAGTGCCCCCCCCCCCCGCCCCCGGCGCCTTATTGTGAATTAGCATCCGCATATTAGAGAAAACATTCAGCCTTTGGCTTTGTGGGATTAGCTTATTTTGAACATTATCTTTCTAGGTTTTTCTAAAGTGAACTTCTCAAAGCTTTACCCATGTCAAGTCACAGTTACATCACCTGGCTCCTCTGTGCAAATAAAGGACTCTGGCAGCAGCTGCAATCTTTTCACACTTCGAATTTCACTGTTGATTTTTAGTGTAGCTATAAATAAGCAAAAGAAATACGATTTTTAAATGTCACTTTATCAATCGCCTTCCTTTTTTAGGACAGGCCTGCATTTCCTTGCCCACAAGCACTAAGGACACATTATATAAAACAAACTGCTCTACACCTATTTCTTTCTCCCACTGCAAGGTCAAAAGTGTAAACCTGCATGAAGTGAATTCACCCTCATACACCACCTCTTAAAACTACAGTAAGCATCTTTATATACAGCCCACTAAGAATCACCAACAGCCGCTCATTAGCAATTGAGAGATATGCAACAAGGTCAATAGGAGAAAGCCAAACACAATAAAACCATTATTTCTAATGCAGTCACTAAAAACAACATTCTTCTTTTTTTAAAATTTAATCCTTGGCAATGGTTCTATCCTTGTTCATTAAAAGAATCCTGCTAGTTTTCACAGCATCATCACACTCTAGGCCCAAAGGACCAATATTCTTGACATCACCACAGGGTTCAATTTTAATCGTGCATACAAAGGCGCACTTCATCTACATCATGAAAGAGCCAGTGATGTGTTCACGCACACGTGCACCAAGCAGGCTGCCCTGGGTGAGGAGAGACTTAAGGACACTGTTCCTTTTCAAAGTACCAAGCCTGGAATAGCCACACAAGCCTTCAAGTAGCCAATTGCCAAGAACAGTAAAGGCACAAAACATTGGAATAAGAAATTAATCATCAATTAAGAAATCAGAGGTTATTAKATGCATGTCATTAAGTGCTTTCTTAAGAAACTGAGGCAAAAATTACAATTTCACATTAACTACTTGGTAACTTTAACTGCGATGTGCACAGCACAACATTTAGATAAAGGCAGAAGCTACTGACGCTCTTCAAGTAAGAATGTCAAACCAAAAGCTCCACAGGCCAACTGTGAAGGCCAACTGTGAAGAATTGTTGACAAAATGCTGATGGTCATCCTAATGCCTACATTTTTTCAAACACAGGAAAACAAATAAAAATGCTGTCATTCCAATCTTACATGCCATCTTAACCAGCTAAAAGGACAAACCTCAAAAAGAAAACAGAATAAAAGTAAAAAATCCTGGTCACTCAAATGAACCCCCAGATTGTGTGATAATGAGACAATCCCAGAGAACACTGGAAGCCGGTATGGACCCGTGTGGCATGCGAGCTAAAATGAAATACAAGAAGGAATGTACTGTCTCTCAGTGAGATTTCTCAATGAAAGAGGAGAATTTTTTTAAAAATTATTCATTCAGAATAACTTTCATGGGGAAAAGGGAAGGAAAAACATACACACTAAGGTCTCAGAAYCCTTAGCAGTGTTTCTATGCATTGCTGGTCACACAGATGCCAAACTGCGTGAAGAGGGGCCTCAGCCAAATCTCACCATCCTAGTTCAAAACTTTCATTAAAAATATAAAGTAAAGCCATATGCGACAAGCATAAAAAAAGAAAAATATTCTTGGAAGAATTCATATGACTCATCTTACTCCTGTTATCACAGCTGCTCCCAAAGCAAAGGTGAAGGTATCAAAAGAGCATGGCTGCCCCGAGACTGAAGGCTGCTGGCCTACACATCAATCTCAGGTTCTATAATCTCTCAGACACATGTTGTTGTTGGTCTAGAAACTAAAGAAAGCTGAGAGATTCAATTACATCATGATCACCAATCACTGAAGTGACTCAGAAGAGAAACACCCTAAGTTCCTAAGCCCTGTACTTAATTCATGAACCAGCAACCATGACTGTGCCATCCAGGTACCATTGACGATGACCAGGTTTCCCAAAGGCACGCAGGTGAGTGCCGCAGAGCCACCCTCGCAGAGAGGGTGTGTGTACTGCAGCCTGTACACACCGCTGGACTTCCACTTCTCTGGCATGGACACAGCTTTGGCTTCAGTCCCCTGAGGAATGAAATAAAAGGAAAATGAACAATGAAGAAATGCATTACTTTCAAAAAAATTAAAGATCCAAAAGACCCCTAACTTGTTTAAAAATGAGCCTTCCTTACAGCTCCCTTAATAAAATGTGCCCCCCATCAGTAATCCTACCATTAATGAAGAACAGAATATTGTAACATCTTTCTATTAAAATTTTTGTTTGAATAGGTAAAATAACATCATAGAAATAAGGGTTAATTTCTTCAAARACACTTCTCCCCTCAGCAAAGCAGGCATTATTCAAGATCCCAACTTCAAATATCGTTCTTTGTAAAGCCCTTTTCAAAACACCTGTCATTCCCTCACATTCTGTTTGTATTTTTATATAGTTTTATTATGTTCTCAATTTATTTGTTATTTATATTATAATTCCTTTTATTTATCTCTTTCATCTACTTATGGACTTGAGCACAGGGGTGTTCAATATTTTGATTTCCTAATTCCTGGCCCAGTACACAGCACACCAYGTGTGTGAAGGGTCTGTGAATGACCACACCTTGAAACCCACCACGTGGCCCACGGGCCAGCAGCCTGGGCATGTGCAGGAGTATGCAAGCTCAAACTCCACCCTTGATTTACTGAGTCAGAATATGTGTTCTAATGGGATCCTAGACATTCTTTAGCATATTAAAGTTTGAGAAGCTCTACTTTAAAATGTTTTCCTCTGTGATCCCTGGCATCCCATAGACATCATGTCTCTCTAAAACTTAACCCAGACCATATTATAGTTTATATGCTTGCTTACCTCTGCCACTTRCAGACTCTGAGCAACTTGCAAATAGGGATCACCCACTTGTATGAGCAATCAGAGAGCAGGGACAAAGCCTGCACCTGACATCAGTAGATGCTTATCGGTTAACAAACGGATGAGAGAATACAGATAAGCAACTACAACATAACAACAATGTCTCTCTTCCTAACTCAGTCATATTAAATTACTGGCATTTCATAAAGCCATTAACATAAAAAATAACCAGCTGTCTAGGCACACCCAACCCACACTCAGTGCCCCACTTAATCTACATATTATCATACAAAATGTTTTGTCTCTTTTAAACTATAGTTACCATTACCTCTGCAATATTAAATACTGAAAAAGGAAATGAAGAATCAAAAAAAAATAGGAAGGAAAAGAGGGAGGGGCACATTTACTGAATGCCTATCACTGTGTTTGACAATTATGTTCAATATCCAACCCCATTAAATAAAGAAGCCTGAACACTACAACGCCCTGGTGACGTTTACTGACGCAAAGGTGTGTGGGTGCTGCTAGTGGCACCTACCTGAGGTATGTACCCTGACTCCAACATGAGGAGATGGACCAACACTATCAAGGCATCGCTGGCATTAGAACAACTGGCTGACTGGTACAAGGTCTCTAAGGAATGTGGCACCTGCCCTTCCGTGGCTTCGCTGCAGAGCATGGGTTCTGAGGGACAGAAGCCTGAGCCCTCCTCCATATCCACGACATCTTGGGTTGACTCAGCTTCAAAGGCTTGACTAGGCCCTGACTGAAGAGGATAAGGAAAAAGAATTCATTCAAAATACTTATCTTTATACAGTACACTGTGCATCCTAGGCTCAAAGCCAAAGCACAACACTGGGTTTAGAAACAGATGACATTTTAAGGGAGCCCTCATGAAGAAGTGAGCCTGGAACCTAACCTCCACCCCAGGTCCTGTGACTACAATAATTCTGGCCGACATGCCAAAGACACCCTAGAAGTCATCCTTGAGTCCTCCCTCCACCTCACTAACCCACCCCAAAMCAGTACACTCACTGTGAGCGGCTCCACGAGCTGCCCCTCCCACCCCACTGGAACATCCTCTCATTCTTGTCTCCTRACTTCCAGCAGCTTCCTCCTGCCTCCACCTTCTGTCTTCTAGTACATTCTACCCACTGCTGCCAGTTTCTTGGCCATTAAAAATCCAATCATGTCCTATGTCCCAGTTTAAAACTCACCAGTATTTCCCCAAAACAGGCACCAGAATTTCCCTCAATCATGCCTTAGTTGGTGCCCCTTGACATTCTTAGGAAAAAAGTCAGTGCACAATCAAATAAGTATGGAAAATGCTCCAAGCTACAGTCAGCTAACCTCACTCACCGTATTCATAAAATACATCAGTATTATAAAAGCTCAGAAGTCTAAAAATAACAGCAATGTGTAACATTTAATCAAGACACACTGTCCTTCCTCAATATCCCTGTGACACTTAAAATCCCATAAAACATGCTTTTCATAGAGGACACACCGAGAAATGCAAGACTACAAAAATTAAATCAAAATTCCTAAACTCTTTAGCAAAGAAGGCCCTTCATCCCCTGCTCCCTCACCCATCCTACATTCACTTTCTTCTAGGATCAGACCACAAGTCACCCATTATGTAACCCCAACACAGTACCTGACACATAGTAATATACTCAATAAATGCCTGTCAAACAGATGTTAGAGGATGACATCTCACAACTGCATAATGTTTTTGATTTCAAAGTGTTTTCTCATTTGTGCCTTACAATGATCCTATAACTTAGGCAAGACAGATGATAATGCCTTTTTATAGATGATATAATGCAGAAATATTATATAACACAATCAAGGTAGCCAGCTAATAAAAATTTGATACTAACCCACATCCCCAGACTCACCGTCTAAGGCTCTTATATGCAATACATACTTCAATAAAACCAATTTATCATATTAAATTCTGTTCAGAAATCTCATTTCCTAGGCTTGTGCTCAATTCTAAATGCAAATAAGATTTCTTCTTCTTCAGTTTACATTTGCATTAAAGGGCATAGTGTGAGTGAAAGACTGGAGGAATATAAGGAGCCAGAGTGACAGCCATTATTCCAAAATCTCTGAGGATCTAAGCCCTACTGTGGAACGATCCAAATCCACTTGCTGAAGCCCAGAGGCCAATGATAATTCACACTCTCTACATAAAACATATGCACAAAACCATGTCTGGGATTTTTTTTCTTTCTTTTTGAGCAAACAGAAACCACTTAACATGAAGCTAAATTATGAAAAATAAGAGCTTATTTTTAACATAATGTCTAACTTTGGGCCACTTACTACTCACAGTACAGTGAGACAGAATATATTTGGAAAATTAACAAAGGGTTACACTAAGCTGAAAACTACATGTGAGAGATCTGAATTCCCCATGGGCTTATCAACATGACTCCTAACTCCTCACTCCTAACTGCCATCCTCTGAGCCATTCTGATAGGAGTGTTTATCATGTCCTTCCCATGGGTGGACATGAAGAAAACACTGACACCACTCTACACAGACCATTTTGCCACAGATCATTCACAAGACACAGAAAGCAGTAACCAAACTGCATTAGAACAGCATTCAACTCTGATACGTATTATCCCAGTTTCTCATTAAAGATCAGGTACTGGATGAATGACCAAATGCAATGAACTGAGGAATTAATTTATATTAATTTATAAAATTCACCTCCTTTGGTTTCAAGTTTTACTCATCTGTGTTACTTCCCTTTTTAATGTTCCCTTCCACATTTACTTAGTAGATTATACTGCTTCAAGGACTTAAAGCATCAAGCTCAGTTTTCTTGCTACAATTTTACAGTTACCCTATACAAACCTTAGAATACAAAATAATGTGATTTTAAGAAATTACTAGCTTGTGGCAACATTAATTTGTCAAAAATTTTCAAAGGGAAAGTAGTAACTATCACATATCCTATAAAAATGAACTATTTTAAAAAGTACACAGAAGTTAAAGGGAATTGCCCTTCTACTAAAGTTTTCTCTGAGTGACTCTATCAGCAAAAAAAAAAAAGACTCAGAAATGTAATTTAAGTACGTAGCTAAATATCCTTACTCATTCCCCCAGATTACCTGTATAAGGCAGAAATAACTCTTCTAAAATAAACTGATATCCAAATATCTGGACACAGATGATTTTCCTAATTCAGAACATTACATATCCTTGGAATAGAACAGAGAAGAAAAACTGGGCACCCTAAGCTTAGAGACAGTGACAGAAACCAAAGGATAATTGATCTGAAGGAGTAAGTACTTGAGCAAAATACTTGGAGCAAAGCTAGGTACTTCAGAATGCCAGCCCAACATTGGTCCAGGTATTAGAAGTTAAAAAGAAAATGTTCTATGAGAACGTGATTTGCAACAGTCCGATGCCAACTACACCCACTAGCACAGAAGTTAGCTGAGGCGTCAACGACTYATCAACTACTTTATTCTCTTTGTCTTTTATACTCACCATACTGTCGTCATTCCAGACATCAGATTGGGCTGCCTGTCCTTGGAATGAATCATTCCGTTGTTCATCAGGTACGCTGGCCTGACTGGAGCTGGCGGCCAAAGAGGGTTGGTCATTATTCTGGAGTGAGGAATGCTCTGAATCTGTGGATGAAGGTAAATTAGGTGCTGGCATGGCATCTTCAAGAATCAAACATATCAAGTCCCCAGAAACAATCCCATACGAAGCCAAGGTCTCTTCATCTCCAGTGAGGGCATCCTTGTTGTTCAATGTAATTGCAAATCGGGTATCAGAACTGCCAAGAAAGACGGATAAGGATAGTAAGAGCTACCTATTACCACCACCCTAAATGATACATCTGGAATATATATAAGGTACACGGCATGACTCTAGGTTATAGATTTCTAATGGCTAAAACTTAAGCCTACTTCCCTATCATCAAAACATGTTTTCAACAATTCTAAAATACATAGTTTTTTATATTTTGATATCTTTGAAATTGGGATGCTTCTCAAAAGCAATGACATACTAGTTTAATTCACAGCATTTTCCCCCTAATGTTAAATAAAGCAATGTGTCTTACAATTGACTACAAATAAATTCAATGAAATATTCTTTCTAAAACATAAATGAGATCACATCATTCCTCTGCTTAAAACCCTCCAATGGTTCTGACCTGAACTTGAATGGAATCCTCACCATGGCTTCCAAAACCCAACYCCTCCCCCAAACCACACCTGTGCCATTCATTCTCTCTCTCACTGGGCTCTGTCACSAGATTCCACTCAGCCACTCAGAAGAGTAGATCAACTCACTGCAGCCTTTGGGCCTCTGGTTAGCTTTTCCAGATCTTAAAATGACTGACTCCTTCTCATCACTAAGGGCTCAGCTCAAAGGTCACTTCAGAAAAGCCTTCCACCYAGTCTACAGCACTCTCTATTTCATTCTCAAGTTTTATTTTTACTGCAACACCACTGTATAAAAACAAGGCCTTTACTTGTCTATCTTCTGTCTTCCCCACACCTACCACTAGAATTTAAGTTTCAGAAGATCAGGGATCTTTTTTTTTTTTTTTTTCCCATGTCAGACGGGTTAACAGGCTTAGAGGGAGGCACATCTCACACAACAGCATGAACACCCAATCACCATGCTTATGAACCAAAAAGGATCCAGATCAGGGATCTCCTGTATCTGGTTTGAAATTTATGTCCAGCTCTTGGCAAATAAAGTATTTATGGAATGGACACACCACCAAATATGAGTTTGGAAGACTGGGATGATGATAAAATTATGGCTGCCTATTCAATGTGCTTACAGAACAATATGCTTACATTGATACCAAAATACCAAACCATGCCCCAAATGTTCATAACCACAAAAAGTTAGATGAATGTATGTAAATAACTGGTTACAAATCCATCCTTCTACTGATATAAAGTACAGGTTCAGGGCTGGGGTTCTGGCTCAATGGTGGAGCACTTGCCTAGCACATGTGAGGCACTGGGTTTAATCCTCAGCACCACATAAAAATAAATTTTTAAAAAAAGGTATTTTGTCCAACTACAACTAAATGTATATATATATATATTTTTTTTTTTTTAAATAACGACAAGGTTCACCCTTCCTACTGATAATCAGCAAAAAAAATCTTTTCACATGGAATACAGCACAAACCCAAAAACCACTATTACACAAGATTAAGAACTTTAAGCACAAAGCAATGAACACCTCTCCATTCTGCATAATGAACTGTTAGACCTGGGAAGAATACCATTGTTTTTTATCACATAGTGGTGAGGCATAATTACCAAAGCATTATAAAACATTTTATAAGACATTTACACTTAGCAATGATATTTTGATTAATTTTTGGAGAGGTTAACAGAAGATGTACTCCTCCGAAAATCAAGTTCTATGTTTTTCTTAAAATCCTATGTGTTGAAAAGTTGCTCCAAAGTAATTCATTTTTTTCTTTCATATACATTTTCTTCTCACCAATTAGAGCATCTTGATAGAGAAATTACTAAAGTAGAAACTATTCCTGTTCATTAAAACACAAGTGGCTCTGCTTTTTCTAAATGCTTTAATAAACAAAAAGTTGAAAATCTGCAAGCTGCCCATGAAACACCATTCCAACTTTGACAAAAAAGAAACACCTCAAATGAATAATGTGTTGCATTAGTCACTGCAAAAGGGTGAGTTTTTTTTTTTACAAGCAGTAACCAGTACAATGTACATTTAAATACCTATTTGTAGAAAATGGTTTGCCTAATAAAAATGTCAACTTTCCTTCCCACTCTAGAAAAAGGGAAGAACTACTGCTAAAGTTATATGTAGTTTTCCAAGATTCTATTTTCTAAAACTGAGGCAGGGGGTTAACTTTAGCAGAAAAATGAAACTCTAGAAACTCCAGGCTTTTAAAAAATATTTTATAGTAATTCTGAGCCCACTTGCTCAGTAAAGACACTTTAAAATAATCATGTCATATTTTTATCAAATGAATACATTATTAACAAATGAATACTTTCAAAACAATAAATTTAGTTTCACAAACTGAAACTTAAATTCCTGGCAGGTAACCAGCCTCAACTGCAAAAACAAACCTGAAAGAGAAACTAACTTGGGTTCTTGTGCAAGCAGTCATATCCTTTTAGGTTACACATCCTTTTAAGGCTATCCTGCCTATTTAAAAAAATAACAAAATATGTATATCTATACATATACATGTATGTACACACACACACACCCCTTCAAGAGATCTTCAAAAATGCTTGGTGGGGTAATGATGCCAGCACATACACTTAGGCTTGACCCCAAGCAGTAGCAATAAACATATCATTTACTATAATGTTTCAAAGGAGTTATGATAATACCTTATTTTTTTGTCTTTTTTCAATCTTTTTAATCTGAAAAAATTAAAAGGATGAGAAATCCATAATGTGGCCTCATTTTACTAAACCCCCTACAACTAAAGTGCAAGTCTGTACAACTCTTATAAAAGGTTTTTATACTCTTCAAAAGGTTTTCTTTTGAAAAATTCGCCTAAAAAGCCCCAGSGAATATTTTTTTTCTGGGCACAATAAAATTTCAAATTCACAAGTTCTGTATTTGAAGAGAGGCCATCCTTACATCGTCCTCTCTACCCCCAGATTATTATTCCCAGACCTATCCTCCAAGGACACAAAGCAGCTTCATCTTCAACCCCATGAAGTTCATGACCATTTTTTGATCTTTCTCAACCTCTCGGCCCCAAATTTCCAGTTCTCCGGGGTCAAGGCCAACGTTTACCTCCATGTTAGGAGGAGGAAAAAAAAAAAAAAAAGTGCATCACGCCCAGGAAAGCTCACAGACCTGAATCCCACCTGCACTTTCCCTAGCTAAAGTGCAGGGGGAGAGTCAGAGCCCGCCGAAGCGGCACCTGCGCACTCAACAGGCTTAACACTGCCGTCGCCCTGCAGCGGGGGACAAGCGCCGGGCGGCATCGACGGGGACCGGACTGTTCACTTTGGGCGCAGAACTTTGCGAACTTTCCCACGGAACTACTCCAGCAGCTCAGGAGGACTCGGGCTAACGGGAGGGTGGCGAGCGCGCCCGCTTCCAGCCTCGAGTCCCGCCAGCCGCGTGCACGACGTGCGGTCCCGCTCCCGGTTCCGCTCCGCGGACGCCGCCGGCTACTCACCCGGGAGGGGACCGGCGCCCCCGGGAGGCTGGGCCATGGTCCCCGAGCGGCCTGGCGCGCAGCGGCCCAGCGCCCCGCCGGCCTCGCGCGTCACAGTCACGGGTCCCCCGGGCGGCGACGCCCCGAGAGCCAGCCCCCACGTGACCGCCCGGTCCCGCGCCCGCGGGCCGCCCGGCCACGCCCGCCCCGCGCTACTCCCGCCGGGCGCCCGCCTACCTGTACCCCAAGGTGGGCAGCAGGGCCTGGCTCAGGTGCGCGCGCAGCTGCCCCAGCGTCGGCTCCGCCTCGGGCACGTCCAGCGGCCGGGTCCGCTTCTCAAGCCGCACTCGCAGCTTCATGGCGGCGGCGGTCCCGCTTCGGCCGCGGGGCTTTGGGCGGCGGCGATCGCCGCCGCTGACTGGGGGTGCTCAGGTGCAGCGGGCGCAGGCCGCTCCTCCCGCCGCGTCTCTGGAACGTCCGCTCTCAGCCGCTCCAGGCAGGGCGCCCCCTGGAGCCCGCGCCGCCAGCCTGCCGCGGGGCCCCGGCGATCGATGGCTCGGCGCGCGACGACGCTGTCTGGGCCGCGAAGCGCACTGCGCAGGCGCAGAGTCCGCCGCAGCTAGGGACCGTCCGCCAGCTTCTGCTGCGCTGTGGCTGGAGGGACGTTGGCGCCGGAAAGGATGCTGCGGTCTGCACCGCTCACCAGTCCCCGAGGACCAGGTCCTACCCCGTGTCTCGTGGCRCTGCTCTCAGAAGCGTGAGGTTGAGTGCAGCTCCGGGTGTGTCCTGTTGCAGGACGTAAAACACCGTGGTCGCTGCTCCGGTTGGACCGTGCGTTAGTCATCTGTTGCTGCTTGACAGTCGCCTCCCAGATCTTACTAGCTCGAAGCAGCAAACGTTTGTTGTCCCACGGGTTCTGTAGTTCAGGAATTTGGGGGTGGTGTGGCTGTCTAGTGCTGTCTCCAGGTCTCGTGCGATTACGGTGAAGATGTAGGCCAGGGCTGCTGTCATCTGAGATTTGGAACTTGGGCCGCAGGATCAGCTTCTGAGATGCCTCGCTCACAGGACTGTTGGCCGGAGACCTGTTTTCACCACATGCATCACCCCAGATGGCTGTTTGAGTGTCCCTAGAGCATGGCAGCTGGCTTCCCTCAGAGCAAGTGACCCACGAGAGAAACCAAGACAAAAGCCACAATGTCTTTTATGGGCTAGCCTCAAGTCACCATTGCTTCTGTCATAGCCAAATCAGCCCTTCAGTGTGAGAGGATCAAGCCAAAGGCATGATTAGCCATAGATGGGATCACTGGGGGCCATCCTGGAGTCTGGCTACACTTAGAGGGTCAACTTAGATGAGAGAGATTATCAAATTTCATCCGTGTTCTCAGAACCATTGTCCAAGTCTTCATAAGAATTGAATAAAGTTTCTTCCAATAGGGGCTGGGAGGGCTCGCCTAGCACCTTGGAGGCCCTGGGTTGGATCCTCAACAACACATAAAAATAAATAAATAAAATTTAAAAATTGCATCCAATTACAACTAAAAAAATTTTAAAAGTTTCTTCCATAGGTGGCAGCACTTGTCCGTGTCCTGCCCTTCACTCCTTAAACGTCTTGATTGCCTGCTTGTGACAGATCACATACCAAGTGCTGTAGGCAGAGTCCTGCCCATGCAGTTCACAATTGAGTGAATCAACTCTTGCAGTCGTGTAAAGTGTCCCATTAATGATACAGATAAACAGACCTGGGGTTGAGATACGTCGAGGAGGGATGCTCTGCAGGAGGATTCTTTAATAGCAAGAAATATGAAATTGAGAAAAGGTGGCAGGACCAGAGTGACTCTGTGTGACCAGAATGAATGACAGAGTGAATGCATCCACCCCMAAAAAAATAAACAAATAATAAGCCTTGGGCTATGTAAAGGGTTTAGGATACATTCTAGACTATATGAGAAGCTGATAGAGATTTGTAAGGGGGTGACTTTATTATCTTGGTCCATAGATCTGSTCAACAGAGGCTGACTCTGGGCAACTACACAGGTACGGGGTATATCTGAAGGGTACTGTATATATAGCTTAGGGAATTTTAGGGAGGACTAGTGGCCCGGGCTAATCTTCCATAAACAAAGCTCAGAACCATGCAGAAGAACTCATGAGGAAACTACCATGACTGAGATTGCTGCTGCCACCCCACCCCATGCTGAAGGACATTGCTGTCACTGCTTCTAGGAATGGCTGCCACAGGTGTTTCTTGTTTGTTTTTTGTAGCCACCTGTACTGATAAAATTCCAAGTTTCCAAAATCATCGTGTTTTCCCACCTCATTTCCAAATCGAAGACTCATAGGGGGGCATCTGACTAAGGAAATATGGGTCCCACACCTTTGCCTACAAAGGAAACTGGGATTCAGAATCTGAACTCCTTCCTTGGGGAGGCAGGACTCATAATATTGGAACTCACCCAAGTTTAGGGAAAGCTATTCAAAAGAGGATAGGAAGCCATGAACCCCTAAGGACATGCTCACATCTAAAATATATCAGTGGTAGAGAGTGGTAGATTAGATTAGGGCTTCCCAACCTCAACAATATTGATCTTTTGGGCCATATAAGTCTTTGTTCTGGGAAACTGTTATGTACATTGTAGGATGTTTATCAGCATCTCTGGTCTTTATCCACAAAACGCCAGTAGAACCCTTTCCTTCCCCAGTTGTAAGAACCAAAGATGTATCATAGCACTGCCAAATATCCTGTGAGAGGCAAAGTCACTTTAATAACCACTGGATTAGAAATCATCTCAGGAGACTCTTTTGGTACCTGAGAGAAGAAAGGAATTCATGGAATGATGGGGTGCAGCAATCATGCATAGAGAAGATGTGGCAGAGGTAGAAATTTTAAAAAAATGTGGAAAATGACTATGCTCAGGAGGTATATTAGGAATAGCTTCAGTTGCTCTAACAGACCCACACAACAGTGGATGAAAGTATTTCTCTCTGAAATAACACTCGGAGAAAACAGTGCAAGGCTAATGTGGTGGCCATCTTTGGAGGCCAGTCCACCCCTGAGGACTATGTAAACCTTCATCAGTTACCACTCGTAAAAAGGGCAACAGTAACAAGAATATGTCAGACAGCTGTGTTGTAACAGCTTAAAGAAATAATACATTATTGTTTTTTTGTAAGTCACTGAGTTTGTAATCATTTGTTAGGGTGACAATAAAAAAACTAACACACCTGGCATCTTGGTCAGAATCCTTTTTGCCCTGCGGGGTGTAACTACCAATGTCAGTGGCAGAGGTGGTGCCACCACAGGAGTGTGGAAGGATCCTGAAGAGAACCAGCACAGCACCCCCACGGCATTGCCAAGGTTTGAAGTGGATGAAGGAGCAGTCCTCCAACCCCCAAAGTTCCAAGAGAACCTTAGATATCCTCCTTCAGCTACCGCCCTTCCTGTTTTCGTCGCCTTTTGTGTTGCTGTGACCACAATACCTGACAAGAACAACTTAGAGGAAGAAAAGTTTGTTTGGGGCTGTCCATTTCAGAGGGCTCAGATTCCGTTGCTCTAGGTCAAGGTGAGGCAGTACATGAGGTGRGGAGGGCCCAGTGGAGGAAGGGGACCCTGCTCCCCTGTGGCAACAGAGAGAGGGGACCAAAGGGCAGATGTAGCCGCCTTCCAGGGCAGGCCCCAGTGACCCACCTCCTCCAGCCATGCCCCACCTGCCTACAGTTACCACCCAGTCAGCCCATTCAAACCAGGATGGACGACTAGGTTACAGCTCTCATAGTCTAATCATCTCACCTTTGAACATCCCTGCATTAACGGGAGCTTTGGGGGGACACCTCATATTCAAACCAGAACATTCCCTGAGGATTTTTTCATATATATATTTTGGCAGGATGCTGCCTTCATTAAAAGTGTCTACAAGCTACAGACACCGAAACTTTCCAAGAGTTCAGAAACTTAAATTTCCTTTTTTAAAAAAATGGACCACTTCATAGAATACTACTAGAACACTCCTGCTTTCCTGTGGGAATCCACTCATTGGCTCCCTTCAAGTGTTTGTTCATTTGCTTGTTTTTAATCAACTTTCACTTTAAAACAGCTTCAGTTTCAATATCCTACACGATCTATTTTTGCCTATTAACAGATTAGTATGTGTCACAATCCATCAGTATTGATGCATTTTTTAAATTTTTTTTCAAGTTGTAGATGGACAAATACCTTTATTTTGTTTACTTATTGTTATGTGGTGCTGAGGATGGAACCCAGGGCCCCCGCACTTGCTGCGCAAGCGCTCTACCGCTGAGCCACAACCTCGGCCAGTATTGATGCATTTTTTAAAAGTCCACACTCCATTGAGGTTTCCTCTTTTTAGGTAATGTCCCTGTTCTATTCCAGGAGGATCCCATCCTCCGGGGCAGCACATTAGATTCCAACATCAGACTCAGGCTCTTCTTTGTCGTGACAGTTTCTTAGACTTTCCTTGTTTTTTGTGACCTTGACGGTTTTGAGGAGTATTGGTCAGGTGTCTTGCAAAGTGTCACTCCATTGGGATTTGTCGGATGCTCGTCACGTGATTAGACTGAGGTCATGTGTTCCTGGGAGGAAGACCTCAGAGGTGAAGTTCCACTCTTAGCACAGCATATCCGCAGTGCACCCATCCACGGGACTCCTCACTGGTGTCATCCCTGTCATTTAGCTTCTCGCTGTAGAGTTACTCTTTTATTCTCCCTTTGATATCGTGTCCCTTGGAAGAAAGCCACAGTGCCCAGCCCACAATTTGAGTAGGAGCTCTGCTCCACCTCCTCAGGGGCAAAGTGTCTACGTAAAGTGCTTGGGATTTCTTCTGTCCAGGACTTTTTTGTCTTGCTCTTTCCTCCTCTCTCTATTCTATGTCAGTATGAACTTATAGTTATTCTATATTTTGCATTATAACCCAATACGAATTCATTTTTTATTATTCAGATCTTTCCATTCATTCTTATATTCATTTGACATCATTGTGGATTTATGTACTTAAGAAATAAATTTAGGTGTATTTTGTTCTGTCCTGTTTTTGAGAATTTTGTTGCTTTCTGGTGCTACAAGACACTCAAGGATCATTTTGTGTATTTCCTGTTCCAGTCTTAGGCTTGGCCCTTTTTCCAAGAAGCCCTAGCTACTTCCTTTTGGGGGAAATGGTATTAGAAGCCAAGATCTGGGTAGGAGGTATGCTCCTTGCTGCTGGAGTTTCCTTAAATTGGAAGGCTTCTCAGCTGACAGAGCAAGGATATACACTATCATATAATAGAATACTGTTTCTGTATGTAACCATCTGTWTCTGTGTTAAGTCGAGCATGAGATCATCCCCATGCATCCTGCTCTGATCCATTACTACATGAGTCATGTGGCCTCCTCCCTTGCTTATCTGTAACCTCCCAATCCAACTATGAGAGACCTGGTTCCAACATTCCACCATTCATTTAGTTAATTGCTTAATTCTAGTATGCATGTCTAGTGGTTTCAAGATTATTAACCGATAATAATGTGTGCTGTTCTGGTTGCCTGTAATGTGGCAGACTCCATTCATTCCAGAAGTTACTCAGACCTGCACCTTACTCCCAGCAAACCTCTCAGTTAGGGCATTTCAACATTTGTAATGTTGTTTCAAACATTGAGATGCTTCTGTTACATCCTGTATTGTATCTGATGTCCCTCCATCCCCTATTAATTTACATACATTATGGTTTATTCTTTGAACTGTAAAATTCTGTGAGCTGACAGATGCCTAATGTCTTATGTTCACCATTATAGTATCAAATAAAACGTTTCCCGACCCTAAAAAAAATCCACTGTGCTTCAACTCCTCCTCCACCACACCCCACCTCCTAGCAATCACTGATCTAACATTTCTAGTTTTGCCTTTTCTAAAAATGTCACATGATTGAAATCACACAGGGTGTAGCATTTTCTAGCTTCATGACTAGTTTCTTTCACTAGCAGCATGAATTTAAAATCAATCCATGTTTTTTTTTGTTGTTGTTGTTTGTTTTTTGTTTTTGTTTTTTGTTTGTTTATTTTTGTTTCATTTTGTTTTGTTTTGTTGGAGACAGTCTCACTGTGTTTTCCAAAACCCTGGACTCAAGGCATCCTCCTGCCTCCAGCCTCCAGAGTAGCTGGGACCACAGGCACAAGCTACCGCTCCTGGCTCCATCCAGGCCTTTTTTGTGAGTTGATAGTGTTTCTCTCTCTCTCTCTCTCTCTCTCTCTCTCTCGCTCTCTCTTAAAATCACTGAATAACATTCACTGTATGACCATAGCTTGTCTATCCGTTCATCTTTTGAAGGCCCTCACGGTTGCTTTCAGGTTGGGGCAGGTATGAATAAAACTGCTAGACACATTTGTGTGCAGRTTTTCATGTGGACTTGAGTTTTCCATCAGGTGGATAATTTAAAATCAGGAGGTGTGCTATTTCTGGGTCGTAGAGTAAGACCACGTTTCATTTTTTAAGAAACTGCTAAACTCTTTTCCAAAGTGGCTGTACTGTTCCGCATTCCCACG